CACAAGGCGCAGCCACTGGGGATGCTGTTTCCGAAGGGGAGGTGGCTGTCTGCTGCTCCTACTGCTAGGAGGTATTGGTGGTGAGAGGAAGTAGGGGTGGTGGTGGTGGTGAGTGAGGGGAGGGAGGGGGGTGAAACCCCAAGGGTATGATGAGTGAGGGGCAGAGGAGGGGGGTTGAAACCCCCAGGGTATGGAGGGAGCCACGCAGGGGGGTTGCATTTAGAAATCCCTGGGTAAGGCAAGTGAGTGACAGGGGGGAAGAGGGGGGCTGGAACCTTCAGGTTGGGGTGAGCAGAGGGCAGGGGAACCCCCCTCCTCTGCCTTCTTCTCGCCTGAAGTTGGGGGTTTCAATCCCCCTCTCTTGTCTCTCAATCGCCTCGCTCTGGGATTTCTAACCCCTCCCCCCTATCTTGCCCTTTCCTACCTTGGAGGTTTCAACTCCCGTTCTCAGCACCACGCTCCCCTAACCCCTTCCTATGCCCATCACCTGCCTTGGGAAAGGGAGTTCTATCCCTCGGGATGCTCATGTTAGGTGGTACATGATGAGCCCTACGGCACTGATGCCACCTGTTGCATGAGAGCATGATGCTCATGTTTGGTGCCACATGATGAGCCCTATGGCACTGATGCCACCTGTTGCATGAGACCATGCTGCTCATGTTTGGTGGCACATGATGAGCCCTAGGGCACTGATGCCACCTGTTACACGAGAGCACGATGCTCCACATTTCCACACCTCCACACCTCCACACCTCCATACCTCCATACTTCCATACCTCCACACCTCCATGCCTCCACACCTCCACACCTCCATACCGCCATACCTCCACACTTCCATACCTCCATACCTCCACACCTCCATTCCTCCATACCTCCACACCTCCATACCTCCATACCTCCACACCTCCACACCTCCATACCTCCACACCTCCACACCTCCATACCTCCACACCTCCATACATCCGCACCTCCACACCTCCATACCTCCACACCTCCACACCTCCATACCTCCACACCTGCATACCTCCACACCTCCACACCTCCATACCTCCACACCTCCATACCTCCCCACCTTCACACCTCCATACCTCCACACCTCCATTCTTCCACACCTCCGTACCTCCATGCCTCCATACCTCCACACCTCCATGCCTTCGCACCTCCACACCTTCATACCTCCACACCTCCATACCTCCACACCTCCATACCTCCGCGCCTCCATACCTCCATACCTCCACACCTCCACACCTCCACGCCTCCATACCTCCATACCTCCATACCTCCATACCTCCACACCTCCACACCTCTACGCCTCCACACCTCCATACCTCCACACCTCCAGACCTGCATACCTCCATACCTCTATACCTCCACACCTTCACGTCTCCACACCTGCATACCTCCACACCTCCAGACCTCCATACCTCCACACCTCCACACTTCCATACCTCCACACCTCCACACCTTCACGCCTCCATATCTCCACACCTCCATACCTCCACACCTCCACACCTCCATGCCTCCACACCTCCATACCTCCACACCTCCATACATCGACACAGTCACACCTCCTTACCTCCATACCTCCATACCTCCATACCTCCACACCTCCATTTCTCCATACCGCCACACTTCCACACTTCCACACCTCCACACCTCCACACCTTCACACCCTCCACACCTCCATACCTCCATACCTCCACACCTCCACACCTCCACGCCTCCATACCTCCACACTTCCATACCTCCACACCTCCACACCTCCATACCTCCACACCTCCACGCCTCCACACCTCCACGCCTCCACACCTCCATACATCCACACCTCCATACATCGACACAGTCACACCTCCTTACCTCCATACCTCCATACCTCCACACCTCCATACCTCCACACCACCACACCTCCACACATCCACACTTCCACACCTCCATACCTCCTTACCTCCTTACCTTCATACCTCCACACCTCCACACCTCCTTACCTCTATACCTCCATACCTCCACACCTCCACACCTCCACACCTCCACGTCTCCACACCTCCATACCTCCATACCTCCACACCTCCACACCTCCATACTTCCACACCTCCACACCTCCTTATCTCCATACCTCCATACCACACCTTTACACCTCCATGCCTCCACACCTCCATACATCCACACCTTCACACCTCCATACCTCCAGACCTCCGGACCTCCACACCTCCATACCTCCATACCTCCACACCTTCACGCCTCCATACCTCTACACCTCGATACTTTCACGCCTCCATACCTCCACGCCTCCATACCTCCACACCTCCATACATCCATACCTCCATACCCTCCACACCTTCACATCTCCACACCTCCACACCTCCACACCTCCACACCTCCACACCTCCATACCTCCACACCTCCATACTTCCGCGCCTCCATACCTCCATACCTCCACACCTCCACGCCTCCATGCCTCCATACCTCCATACCTCCATACCTCCACACCTCCACACCTCCACACCTCTACGCCTCCACACCTCCGTACCTCCACACCTCCAGACCTGCATACCTCCATACCTCTATACCTCCACACCTTCACATCTCCACACCTGCATACCTCCACACCTCCAGACCTCCATACCTCCACACCTCCATACTTCCATACCTCCACACCTCCACACCTTCACGCCTCCATATCTCCATACCTCCATACCACACCTTTACACCTCCATGCCTCCACACCTCCATACATCCACACCTTCACACCTCCATACCTCCAGACCTCCGGACCTCCACACCTCCATACCTCCATACCTCCACACCTTCACGCCTCCGTACCTCTACACCTCGATACTTTCACGCCTCCATACCTCCACACCTCCATACCTCCACACCTCCATACATCCATACCTCCATACCCTCCACACCTTCACATCTCCACACCTCCACACCTCCACACCTCCACACCTCCACACCTCCATACCTCCACACCTCCATACTTCCGCGCCTCCATACCTCCATACCTCCACACCTCCACGCCTCCATGCCTCCATACCTCCATACCTCCATACCTCCACACCTCCACACCTCCACACCTCTACGCCTCCACACCTCCGTACCTCCACACCTCCAGACCTGCATACCTCCATACCTCTATACCTCCACACCTTCACATCTCCACACCTGCATACCTCCACACCTCCAGACCTCCATACCTCCACACCTCCATACTTCCATACCTCCACACCTCCACACCTTCACGCCTCCATATCTCCACACCTCCATACCTCCACACCTCCACACCTCCATGCCTCCACACCTCCATAGCTCCACACCTCCATACATCGACACAGTCACACCTCCTTACCTCCACACCTCCATTTCTCCATACCGCCACACTTCCACACCTCCACACCTCCACACCTTCACACCCTCCACATCGCCATACCTCCATACCTCCACACCTCCACACCTCCACGCCTCCATACCTCCACACCTCCATACCTCCACACCTCCACACCTCCACACCTCCACGCCTCCACACCTCCACGCCTCCACACCTCCATACCTCCACACCTCCATACATCGACACAGTCACACCTCCTTACCTCCATACCTCCATACCTCCACACCTCCATACCTCCACACCACCACACCTCCACACATCCACACCTCCACACCTCCATACCTCCTTACCTCCTTACCTTCATACCTCCACACCTCCACGCCTCCACACCTTCACACCTTCACACCCTCCACACCTCCATACCTCCATACCTCCACACCTCCACACCTCCACGCCTCCATACCTCCACACCTCCATACCTCCACACCTCCACACCTCCACACCTCCACGCCTCCACACCTCCACGCCTCCACACCTCCATACCTCCACACCTCCATACATCGACACAGTCACACCTCCTTACCTCCATACCTCCACACCTCCATACCTCCATACCACCACACCTCCACACATCCCCACCTCCACACCTCCATACCTCCTTACCTCCTTACCTCCTTACCTCCTTACCTTCATACCTCCACACCTCCACACCTCCTTACCTCCATACCTCCACACCTCCACACCTCCACACCTCCACGTCTCCACACCTCCATACCTCCACACCTCCACACCTCCACACCTCCATACTTCCACACCTCCACACCTCCTTATCTCCATACCTCCATACCACACCTTTACACCTCCATGCCTCCACACCTCCATACATCCACACCTTCACACCTCCATACCTCCAGATCTCCGGACCTCCACACCTCCATACCTCCATACCTCCACACCTTCACGCCTCCATACCTCTACACCTCCATACTTTCACGCCTCCATACCTCCACGCCTCCATACCTCCACACCTCCATACATCCACGTCTCCACACCTCCATACCTCCACACCTCCATACATCCATACCTCCATACCCTCCACACCTTCACATCTCCACACCTCCACACCTCCACATCTCCATACCTCCACACCTCCATACATCCACGCCTCCACACCTCCACACCTCCATACCTCCACACCTCCATACCTTTACACCTCCATACCTCCACACCTCCACACTTCCATACCTCCACACTTCCATACCTCCATACCTCCACACGTCCCTGATGGCAGGGCTGGCCGTTTATTGCTGGACGGGTGGGCAGGATGGAAGGCAAATTGCACGAAAAGTTTTGAAGGAGTCTATCATGGCAGGCTGTTGAAAGGCCATGTGTAGTGTAAATTGTGGCTTATTTTGTTTGAATTTTGGTTTCTACCTGTCTTTACCTAGTTATGACTACCTTTTGTCCAAGAAGTGATAAAAACTTGCTGCGCGAGTGCATAAGAGCTGCATATTTGGTTTGATTGCCAAAATAGGCAGCTGTAACTAAATGCCAAATCCATCAGCACTTTTTTCCTTGTACATTTTATGAGGGCTGCCCCGCCGGGAAGGCTCGGAAACAAGAGGTTCAGGGTTTGGCTGTCAGGGTTTCATTTCCCGCCAAGGTAGAATGGAGGTTTTGGCCGGAGGCACTGCAAACATCTCGGTTCCACCAGCTCCTTCACGCCTGCGTCAGTGTAGTGTCCCGCCTGACTTCGGGTTTCCGCAGCCTCCCACACTTCCTCCCGCCACTCCCCTTCACTCTCACTCTTCCGGTCCTCTTAGTGGCTGGCTTCCGTTGTCTGTCTCTTGTTCTGATCTTGTTCACATTCCGAAGGCTACTTATGGCTAGTCGGAAGAAGCCCTTATCGGAGCAGCTGGCGGAGCTGCTAACCCCTGCGCCCACCGCGGGGCACGAGGACCCGGAGGACGCGCAGGGGTTCGGCGCAGAGGCGCGCGCGATCTTCGGCGGAGACGCGTCGGCGGAAGCGGGGGAAGGATGGGGCGCGGCGGAAGCGGGGGTCGTGCGCGAGGGGGAGGCTGGCGCGGGGCGGAAGCGCGGGGAACGCAGGTCCGCGGCGAAGGAGAAGGGGCTGAACCTGCGCGGGAATCTGGTGATGGAGGGGAAAGAGTATGGCGGGAATAGGAGCAGCAGATCGGCGCTGTTCGATGGGTGGGCGGATGACGTGGAGAATGACGACGATGACGTGGAGGAGGAGGATGATGACGTGGAGGAGGATGGAGGGGAGGGTGAGGAAGAAGAGGAAGCGGGGCGAGTCGATGCAGATATGGAGCCCATGTCAGGTGATGAGGATAACGAGGATGATCCTAACGAGGATGAAGAAGAGGATAACGAGGATGGTGATGATAGTTTCGGTGACGAGGATGACGATAACGAGGACGAGGAGGACGCGCTAGAAGGGAGCGAGGGGGAAGGCGAGGACAGCGAGGGGTTGAGGGGTTTAGCAGCGGCAGCGCGAGCCACGATGGATATGGGTATGGAGGCTCTAGATCGCGATTTTGAGGCCGCTTTGAAAGACGAGTTTCGCCCCGCTGGTACTATAGCGGGGCGGGATCCTAGTGCTAGTAACGAGGACGATGCTGACGAGGATGGGGACCGGCAAGATCAGGGCGACGGCGGCGCGCCTGTGGCTATAGCGAAGAGTGTTTTTAAAGGGGCTGTTCGTGACGAGGACAAGGGCCGCGCGGTAGCCGCGCAACGGGCGCTGTGGGACCGCGCGCTGGAGCTCCGCATTGCCCTGCAGCGCCCGCTGCAGTCCGCGTGCCGCCTCCCCCACGCGCGCGCGCACGCCGCCTACGCGGCTGTAGCTCCGGACGTGGCGGCGCAGTTCCAGGCTGTAGCGGCCGGCACGCGGACGGCAATCCGGCAGTTCCTGACGCTCCAGGACGAGCTGTTCAGGCGGAACGCGGCGGTTGATGGCGCGTTCAAGGCCGCGCGGGAGGCGATGGGGGGAGCGCGGGGAGGCGGAGACGGACGCGGGGAAGGAGAGGGCGGTCAGGGGGAAGGAGACGGAGGAGAGGGGGATGGGGGCAGGGGTGGGGGTTTAAGCGGGGTTTCGGGGCTGGGTTTGGATTTGGGAGGGATTGAGAGTGGGAGCAGCGGGGAGGTGTGGGAGCAGATCTCGAGGACGTACGAGCGATTCAGGCCCTTCTCGCAGAGCTCCATTGACAGGTGAGCTCCATAGAAAGGTGAGGGCAGGGGCTATTCGTGAGTGTGATTGGTGTAGTGGCTGTGGGCGCTTGTGATTTAGATCGGTGGGCGAGGTGCAGGGGCTGGGGTTGCAAGCTTATCCCTGAACTCTAGCCGGCAGTGCAATTTTCCTTCTCCCACAGTCCTCTGGACTCTGTATGGAGACAATGCAGTGATTTTAAACGCAGCTGGCATCACAATACAAAGCTAACGTCCGGAGCCATGGCGGCCAGTTGCAGAAGCAGCCGGCTACAAGCCACGATTCGGCTTAAACCCTGATATGGAACTCACCTTCGCCTTACCATATGACTCGCCCCAAACCCTGATACGGAATTCACCTTACCTATTTCTGACTTCTGAACTCCCTAATGCAGGTGGCACCGCAAAACCCTCCTGACTTCTGGAGCCATGGCTGCCAGTCGCAGCAGCAGCCGCCTGAGGGCGCTCAACCAGAGCGTCTCCCAGCAGGTGGCGGCGGCTCTTCGTGCACCCGATCGCCTCATCCAACGGTCCAGATTGCCCCGTGAGGCTGTCAGGGTGATCGGCGCCAAAGCTGTTGCTGCTGCTGGAAAGAAGCGGAAGGGGCCGGATGGGGTGGCTGGAGAGGAGGAAGGGGGTACGGAGGGTGAGAAGAGAGCAGTGAATGGTAAAGTGCAGGGAGAGCAGGGTGGGGAGGAGGAGGAGGAGGAGGAGGAGGAGGAGGAGGAGGAGGAGGAGGAGGAGGAGGAGGAGGAGGAGGAGGAGGAGGAGGAGGAGGAGGAGGAGGAGGAGGAGGAGGAGGAGGAGGAGGAGGAGGAGGAGGAGGAGGAGGAGGAGGAGGGTGGGGACGAGGGGAGACAGGAGGTGGAGGAAGAAGAGAATCAGGAGGAGGAAGGGGAGGAGCAAGAGGAGGAGGAGGAATGGGATGCGGAGACATACGATGACACGGAGTTTTACCAGCAGCTGCTGCGGGAGTTCCTCGACTCGTCCCGCCTCGAGGAGATGGGCATCGCAGGGCTGCAGGTGGTGCGGCGGCTGCGCGGCAAGAAGTCCAAAGTGGTGGACCGGAGAGCCTCCAAGGGGAGGAAGGTGCGGTACGTGCCCATGCCAGCTCTCGTGAATTTCATGGCCCCGGAGCCGGTTCAGCTGCCCCCGGTTGTGGAACGGTTGTTTGGGAACCTGTTCGGGCAGGTACATGGAAAGAAGTAGCTGCCCGTATTGCAGAACTGTACTGCCGCCAAGATGACTTGTGAGTCGATTCAATGCCGGCTGTCATGATATTCACGGCCCTGGAGGCGGTGCAGTTGGAGCTGGCCCCGGTTGCATATCGGTTGTTTGGGAACCTGTGGGCAGCAGTAGGTGATATTAAGCTGTAACTGGACTTGATTGATACGTAACACTTTGATTGGAGGTGCGGCATGTGCAGATGCCAGCTCTCGCGTGATTCTTTTTTGGCCCTATACCTGGTGCAGCGGCGGCGGGTTGTTGAGAGTTGTTCTGAGGTGGTTTGGTAAGTACAGCAACGATGCAGTAATGAGCCAGTTATTAAGGCCATTTCACCCTGATTACCCTTGCCAAGTATACCCTGATTCATAATGGTGCCCCAAAACCATCTCTGGCCCTGGTAGTAGTGATGCAGTTATGGAGTGTTGGATGTGCAATAAGGTACCTCAGCTGTTTGGTGCTGACAACATGAAGCGCCTGCCGGCTGTTGTGGATCAGTTGTATTGGAACCTTTTTTGACAGCCACGAGTGCAATATATATATGCTGATTTGAATAATGCTTTATCAATTCCCTGTATTTCCTTGAGACTGTGTTTGGTGCTGTAGAGCACTACATTAGTTGACTCGACAGAATCTCCGACCCCAAGCCGAGGAAATTTGTTTTGGGCACTGAAAGATTTGGCCTCCTGCTGAACATTATCCGCCGCACGTTACATTTCAATCTTTCAGTCCTCTGTTCTGCTTCAGGGACTGCACTGCACAGAAACTGTTTGTTCTCGTTCTGGCCAGATCAGAAGTCTGTCGGATTGCCCTGTGGTGTGTCCCGCCGTGGTCCCCGGAGTCCCGACACGGGTGACGACAAGCAGCAATATCGCTGACATGGCAAGTTGACAGCCTTACGATGTTGGCATCCAAGTCTCTGAGCTCGCACCACTACCAACTTGGCCTTGGGCGCTCCTCGGCCTTGGGTTTCGTTTGATTGAATCCCAGCCAATGACAGAGTCGCGTTGTGTGCCTCAATTTCATCAGCTTGTCTTCGCTAGCCCTCATGAATCATTTTGCCTCGCCAACCTCATCACCTTCGGTCGAAGGGCCTGCCAGCCAACCATACCATCCCCCCTCCTTGATTCAACCGATTTATGTGCATACGGTACGGTAGTGTACCGCTGATGAAACCTGAGGACATACATCGTGATGTGATGTGACAATCGGTGACATGACTCACACAGCCTGCTAGGGATCCTTGATGGTTGTCAGTTAGGGTCTACTGTATTTCCTGAAACACGAGTAATACTGCAACATAGTTTCCTAGGTCCTGTGCTAACGGCAGTCCAGACAGGAGATTAGGGTTGCAATTACCTGCTGGTTGGCCCTCAGCTCGTGGCTGGTTCTACGCGTATAGTTTGTTTTGTCTGACACCGGTTTAGTGGTTCGAATGTCTGGGGGTAATGCCCTCGATAGCTTCTCATGCGAAACCAAGGCGCGTTAGTGTGTAGAATTAGTGCTGACGAGCTAGAAAGGGACGCATGCCTTGCGATGGTTCCGTTTAGACGAAGCCGCGTTAGATGAACAATCGAGCGTATCGACGGTAGGCTCTGTTAAAATGGATGTCAGATTAAGCTAATGCCGGGGCCTGTGATGGTTGCGTCATCTTCTGGAACGGAGCTTTTCAAATCACTGACAGTTCTCGAGACGTAGCGTACTTTAACCCCTAAAAATCAAGTCTTGCCTGTTTCCTTCAGATTTATGGACAGAAGGTGTTCGGTTCTGGGATTCCAGAGGATGTGGCTTGCTCTTACACTACAGAGTGTTTTTGAGAATTCTAAAAAACACGGGTTTGCTGGCTACGGTCCAGATCCCAAGAACCACGTAGGTTGCCCTTTTCCCTGGCGTCTCTGTCACGTCAGCATCCGTGGTTCAAGAAGGTGCAGATTTTCAAGACAGCAGCGTTAGTTCTGGTAGTCTTTCTTGTAACACTCATGGACGGTCACGGAGGCACCGTGACGTCAACGTCGTCCCAGTGGAGCGGATCGGACGGCTCTGATCTGTCCCCGAAGGACGTGAGATGTGCGCGAGGCCCGAGACGGCGAGGGTGGCGGAGATTGGCGACTATCTTCAGCGGATTTCGACAGGAGGAGGAGGAGGAGAATGAGGGGGGAGTCGAGTGGCGGAACGGGAGAGTATATGGGAGAGAGCATGGGGGAGAGCATGGGGGGGAAAATGGGGGAGAGCATGAGGGGAGGGGGTATGAGGAGGGTGATTATGAAGCCCAGAGCAGCGGACGGTTGCTTTTGGAAGAGCATGACTATAGCGGTGGCGATTTTGACGCGCACCATGGCGCACACAGTAAAGGCCCACAAGGGTACGTTACCGATACATGGATGCTTTGCCATACTTAGCCAGCCCTCAGCATCCTTCACATCCCACCTCTCGACATGAGTCATTCATGCATCACCTCTTGACGTTGTTGTTGACTCTGGTGGAAATTCGAGTGGTCAAGAGGGATGGTCAAGAATGATGAGAAACCGGGAATGTTTCACAGCAGCGGGCAGTCAAGGGTCGGGGGTCAAGGGACAAGGGTAGTCGTGCGGATCAGGAAACAGATACACGCGCTTTTATCCAGTCTCCATGTCTTTGCCTTCTCCTCCGCCTGCTTCCGTTCCCACATCCCCCTCTCTTGCCACGTGCCTCACAGATTCTGGCACTCGGCACGTCACCATCCACATGGCACGTCCCCATTGGACCAGGTCTTGGTGGACACGTCAGCAGCACCCTCCGTGACTTTCAGCGATGCACTCATGATGGAGGTCCTTCCTAGAAGCTTCCCGGATGGCAGTGAGGGAGAGGAGGGGCGGTGGGAAAAGGGGGATGGCTGGGGGAAGGGCTTGAGAAGGGTGGGTCGGCGGCTTGCTCGTGATGCGGCGAAGCGACATGTGCTGATGACGCGACTGGCGGTTATGGTAAGAAGATTTTTGGATATACCTTAATTAGGCGTCTAATGAAAACGATTCGTGCTGTGGAGATTCGGAATGTGCTCGTGAGGCGACTGGCAGTCATTGTAAGAAGAGTGCTGTGCTGGATTGCATTTTTTTGGGCGTCTAATGAAAACGATTCATGCCGTGGAGATTTGGCCTGTGCTGATGAGATGAGGCGACTGGCTGCTATGCTATGGTGAGAAAGAATGCTGAATTGGCCACAACCACCCTTTGCGTGCATGTGCTCCTGCTCCTTCCCCCCTATCCTTTGTGCCACTTTTGTCTTCCAACCACCACCCATTCCTTCCCATCCCACCACCCGTTCTACTTTTGAGTCGACTCAAAAGCAGTCTTCCAACCACCACCCATTCCGTCCCACCACCCGTTCTACCTATTGCCATACCATCTGGTGGCAGCACCAGCATAGCATGCATGATCCTCACACATGCTCCTTCGCTCATGCCCTCCTCCCCATCCTCCCTTGCCTCCACCCTCAAGCCTCCTCGAATGATCGCTGATGTGCTCCCCCCTCCCCTTCACCCTCCCCACCTCCTCTTCAACCCCCCCCCCTCCCCCCCTCCCCCTCTTCCCTTTCCCCCCCCCCCCCCTCTCTTCCCTCCCCGCCCTGCTCTCCTCTCCACCAGATGATGATATTTATCCTCGTTACAGCATGCATGTTCCTCACATGGGCGCTCATGCGCTCCCAAGCCACGTCCGCCCTCTCGCACGTGGCCCGGGACATGCGGGTGCAGCTGGTGCAGGGCGTATCTGCCGGGATGGCGGCAGTGTTTGCCGCTATGCGTCCCTCTGCAGCCCAGCTGGCGTCCTTACAAGGAGCCATTCTCTCAGGGACGTTTTTCAGGGAGGGCTATCTGGGGAAGGACTCATCAGCAGCGGATTCAAGAGTCCTCATACTTCTCGCTAGTCTAGTCAATGACACTCTCTACACCTTTGAATCTTCACAACCTGCCAATTCCGGCCAATTCGGCGCTGCCACGTCACCCAACCCTATCACAGCCGCGGCAGCAGAGTACCTGTCTGCGTCGCTGTCCCCCTCGCAGCTGCTCTCAGCCTGCTTCTCCTCCCCTGCTCTCATCTCCCTTGGGAACTATGGAAACCAGGGGAACCTGGGGAGCCTTGGGGGCACTGGAACCGTCTGGAGTACTGAGCACTACTATGTGGACGCATGTCCTGTAAACGCCTCCAGCCTGCAGGGTCCTCTTCCCAACGCCTACGACCTGCAGGGTTCTGGCAACGTGTCGAGCCTGCAGGCCCAGGAGCTGCAGCCGTATTCTCTGGTGGTGATTTCCGTTGTGCTGGCAGCCAGTATATTCGCCCCCTTGGAGTCTGGCAGCACCACTGTCATGGCCCTCTGCATCGCCCTGCCACTGCTTATCCTCGTTATAGGCTCGCTGCTCGTCTGCCTGACCACCTCGACGGACGTGGCTCCAGGAGGCCAGACGCTGCGACAGGTGAGCGTGAGACCGAGGCTGAGTTGAGTGATGCCGACTGTGTGGCTTTGGCCTTTGAGAATTCTCGAAACCAACTGGCTCCAGGAGGCCAGACGCTGCAGGAGGTGAGGTGAGACTGAGGCTGAGTTGAGTGCTGCTGACTGTGTGGCTTTACCTGCTGCATTGCTCCGTCCCCATGCCTCCTTCCATCATTACAGTAGCCTATACGCTCGCTGCTTCTCTGCCCTAATGCGTCCTTTGACTCGGATGTTTTCAGGAGGCCAGACACGATGACAGGTGAGGGTGGGCGCCGGGCAGTGTGCCTTGTGCTGGTGCGATGCCTACCTTCTCCCTCTTGTATTCTCCGTGCCTGCCAGATCCCAACCCTGCCAGATCTAAAGCCCTGCCATATCCTGTGCCGGGCCGAGCGCGACAAGCCTCTTCCTTCTCCCCTGAAAATCACCACTGTCCTTATGTGTCCAGGAGCTGGTGCGGCGGCTGGTGGAGCGTCACAAGGTGGAGCAGCACAGCAACCACAAGCGATAACCTTCTTGAGCTGATTGAGAGTGCACGTAGGCTATTGTCTGACTTCTCCTGGCTATTGTTCTGCAACTGCCCTTGCCTTCTCCTCCCCTTGGTGCATTCTCAGGAGCTGGTGCGGCAGCTGGTGGAGCGCCACAAGGTGGAGCAGCGCAGCAACCACAAGAGCCAGTTCCTCGCCAACATGAGGTCAGTCAGTCAGTCAGTCAGTCAGTGAGTCAGTCAGTCAGTCAGTGAGTCAGTCAGTCAGTCAGTCAGTCAGTCAGCTCCGCTTGTTGCCCTGCTCTCTATCTTCGAATCTGGTTCCGAGTCAGCTCTAAAGAAATTTCTGGATCTCCAAGCATGCGAACGCCCTCTCTCCCGAGCACGAGGCCATGGTGCTCCAGATCAAGCCATGTGCCTCAGGCTTCATTGCGTTCAATGCCCTTCCCTCCTTGCTCTCCCTCCCCTCCCCCTTCCTCCCCCCCCCCAGCCACGAGCTGCGCACGCCCCTGGCGGGCATAATCGGGCTCTTGGACCTGCTGGCGTGCGACGCCCTGTCCCCCGAGCAGGAGGCCATGGTGCTCCAGATCAAGCGCTGCGCCTCAGGGCTGCTCGCCCTCATCAACAACGTGCTCGACATCTCCAAGGTCAGTTAGGCATCTCCAAGGTCAGTTAGGTATCTCCAAGGTCAGTCAGGCATCTCCAAGGTCAGTCAGAGTCAGGCCTGTGGCCGACGACTTGAAAGCACCCTCCCTCAAAATGCCTGGGCCTCCCCTCGCCCTCATCAACAACGTGCTCGATATCTCCAATGTCAGTCAGACAGACCTGTGGCCGACGACTTGAAAACGCCCTCCCTCAAAATGCCGAGCCTCCCCTCGCCGTCCCCTCGGCCTCCCCTCTCCCCCCCTTCGCCCTCATCAACCACGTGCTCGATGTCTCCAAGGTCAGTCAGGCCTGTGGGGCGGGCAGGCGAGCAGGCGCCCTTCCAGCTGACACAAAAGCGCCTCCTCCTCTCGTTATCCCTCCCTGCGCTTTTGAATTCCCTCAGGTGGAGGTGGGCGCACTGGAGCTGACCCTTGCGCCATTCAGTACAGTGGGAGAGATGGAGGCGCTGCTGGACATGTTTGCAGTGCACTGCATAGGCAGCAGCGTGGATGGACGTCTCCATGGACCTCTCCCACTCCCCACTCTTTGCACGCCCTGTCCCCCCATGTGCAGGTGGAAGTAGGGGCTCTCGAACTGTCCCTCGCGCCGTTCAGTATAGTGACAGAGATGGAGACCCTCCTGGACATGTTTGCAGTTCACTGCATAGGCAGCGGCGTGGACCTCTCCATGGACCTGGCGGACGACCTACCGCCCCTGGTGCTGGGCGATGCAATGCGGTTCAGACAGGTGGTCAGCAACCTGCTGTCCAACAGCGTCAAGTTCACGCAGCAGGGGCACATCCACGTGCGCGCGTGGGTCGTGCACACCCCCAATACCATTGCCATGGTGAGTGCGGGCTCCCTTGCTGAGGGACCTGGTGATGGAGAAGAGATGAGATTCGGGTAGATAGAGAGCAAGCTTTTGAGTCGACTCAAAAGCAGACCTGGTGATGGGGAAGAGATGACATTTGGGTAGATAGAGAGCACCCTGCTGTCTAACAGTGACAATTTCACGCAGCGGGGGCACATCCACGTGCGCGTGTGGGTCAATCTGTCACAATCTGTCTCCCCTCCTCCACCCCATCCCTCTCTCACACATCCAGCCCTCTGTCCTCCCTCCGTCCCTCCCCCCTCTCTTCTCCCTCCCTTTCAGTCCCGAACAGCCCTGGAGAGGGGGGCGAACATCCACTCCTTGCAGATGGTTAAGTAGGTTGGTTTTGATACATCTCAAAACTTCCCTCCCCCCTCTCTTCTCCTTCCCTTTCAGTCACGAGCAGCCCTGGAGAGTGGGGCGGACATCCGCTCCTTGCGGATGAGCACTCTCAACGCTCTCCTGCCCCACAAGCTGCACCCTGCTGCTTCTGCATCCCCTTCGTCTGCTGCCGTGTCTACCGCTGCTGCCGGTGCATCTGCTGCTGGTAGTACTGCTGCTGCTGCTGCTGCTGCTGCTGCTGTGCCGCCTCGTGGGCACAACTGTAACAGCCTGCATGCACCAATGGAGAACTCACTGAGAGGAGAAGCGGAGGAGGAGGGAGAGGAGGAGGGGGAGGAGGACGGGGAAGAGGACGGGGAAGAGGAGGACGAAGAGAGCGTTAGGGGTCACAGGGACAACCCGCATGGGTGTGGCTCCATGTGCCTACCGGTAGGGGCAGTAGCAGGAGGCGGGGAGAGAGGAGGAGGAGGTTCAGGTGCAGGTGGGAATACCAGCAGAGGGGGGGGAGGGGGAGGGAGAGGGAGGAATGCCCGGGGGGCGGTGGCATGCGCAGGCGGGTATTCTTCCCCATCAATGAAGCGCTCTGCTAGTTTCAGAGAGCAGAGAAGCCCACTGCTGGGACGCACGGATGGGGGGCTGACATCCCACAGCAGCGGGAGAGCCCCAGCGGAGGCCTTGCAAGGGCTGTGCATGGGAGGTGTGGTGGCAGGCGCAGCAGCAGCAGCAGATGAGGAGGGAAGCGAGCTGATGGATATAGTGGTGGAGAAAGGGGGAATGGGGGTAGGAGAGGGAGTGGGGAGGGATGTGAGGGTGGACGTCGGAGGGCAAGCAGACGGAACAGTCAGCAGTGGGGCTGGAGCAGGCGCACCTGGTGCAGGTGGAGCTGAGGAAGATGCGGTTGCAGGTGAAGGGGGGGACGCACCTGGGGAAGGTGCGCCTGGGGAAGCCCAGCCTGCTGCTGACGACGACCGCGTGCTGATAATATTTGAGGTGGACGACACGGGGTGTGGTATACCACCGGAGTTGAGAGAGCAGGTGTTTGAGAGCTTCTGCCAGGTGGACGAGTCGTCCACGCGCGTGCATGCGGGCTCGGGCCTGGGACTCAACATAGTCAAGGGGCTGGTCCAACTCATGGGGGGGCATGTGGCCGTTGCGGAGAAGGATGGGCCAGGTGCTCTGATTAGGTTCTCCCTCATGTTGCCCCCTGTGCCCTCCCCTGCTGCTGCTGCTGCTGCTTGTGATGCTGATGGCGCTGCTGCAACTGCTGACGGTGCTGCTCTCGTGGACGACCCAGACCTATCCGCGTCTTTCATTCCAAGGTATGTATGTGTGCCTTTGCGTTTGGCTCAAATGCACTCAACGCGTGTGCGAGCATGCATGCGGGCTCGGGCCGGGGGCTGAGCATTGAGAGGGGCTGGTGGTGGAGCTCATGGGCGGCCATGTGGGCGTCGCAGAGAAGGATGGCCCGGGTGCCGTCATCAGGTTCTTTCTCATGCTGCCCTTCGTGCCCTCCCCTGCTGCTGCTGCTGCTGCTGGTGGTGATGGTGATGGTGATGGTGGTGGTGATGGTGATGCCGGTGGTGGTGCTGTGTCTGGTGCTGCTCTCGTGGATGGCCCAGACCTGTTGACGTCCTTCATTCCGAGGTGTGTGTGCTCTGCCCTGTGATCGGCTCAAACACACTCAAGCGCTGGCTTCCGCAGAGCCTCGAGTCGACTCCCAGGCCGTACCTCTGGGCCTTTGCATTTAGCCCTGTCCATACGTCCTTGCTCGTAGTGCTCCCTCCATGCGTCTATCCCACAGCAGCCCTCATCCACCCATCCACCCATCCACCAGGCTTGGTGAAGGTCTTTCGGAGAATCCATGGGGAGAGCTGGCGGCCTCACCTCCCCAAGCAGCCACCCCTGCTCTCAACCACCGCGAGGTACGCTGTTTCTCACGTCTACCGCCTATTCTCAGCCTACCATGCTCCGACTGTTTTGCCCTGCTTTGGGCTTTTTACAGAGAGGCGTTCTTTGAGGCGCCTCAAAATTTGGGCTTTTTGCAGAGAGGCATTCCCTCGCTGCTGCAGGCCACCAGCATCTGCTGGAACCCCCCCCCCCCCCCCCCCCCCACCCCCCGTTTCTCTCCCGTTCACTGACAGGTTCAGGTGCTGCTGGCAATGGAGGAGTGTCCAGGCAAGGCCACGGCGGTCAAATGGCTGGAAGCTCGGAGCATCAAGGCCCGGCAGGTGCAAGAATGGGCCAGCATAAAGTCCGCTCTAGACCAAGCCGTCCACGCATCCCTGCTGCAACGTCAAACTGCAGCGCTTGCTGCCATTGCCGCCACGATCGCTCCTGGCAGGGGCGCTGCTGCTGGTAGGGCACCTGCAGGTGGAGATGGAGAGGTGCAGAGCGGTTCTGGGGTAGGAGGCATGGGGTATGTGTCATCTGAGGCTCGGCGGCGGTCGTTCACTGCCCCTGTTGTGGTTGGAGGGAGTGCAGAAGACTTGCTAGGGGTTAGCGGGGTTAGAGGCAGGGACAGGGGGGGGGATAGAGGTGGCGTCAGAGGAGGTGGCGACATGGATGCTGCTACTTCTGGGGCAGCGTCAGCGACAGGCGCAGCTGCTTCCAGTGCTGGTGGCAGCATCCGGGGGGGCACTGGAGCGAGAGGGAGGGCGGGAGGGAGCAGTAGCAGTGGGACATGGCTGCCCTCGCGCCTGGTGTCTCAGGCGTCCCCGTCGAGATTGGAGCGCCTGGTGTCTCAGGCGTCCCCCTCCAGACTGGAGCGTCTGGTGTCTCACATGTCCCCTTCGAGGCTGGAGCTGTCCTCGATATTCCCCCCTTCTCTTGCAGCCTTGGCAGGTCTCGGGCACTCCGGCCACCACACTCACTCCGGCCACCACACTCACTCCGCCCACCACACTCAGTCTGGTCAGTCAGGTCAACCAAGCCAACCAAGTCAGCAGCACAGCACAGCACCTTGGGAAGCCACAGCGGTTTTCTCCCAAGGGGCGGGCATTTCTATGCCTCTGGGAGGAACAGTGGGGTCGCAACCACAGGTGGCTACTGCAGAGGAAGCTGCTACTGGGAGTTGGGAGAAGAGCGCTGTTGATGGGGACAGGGGCAAGGAGCGTGCAGAGGAGAAGGGGAGGGAGGAGGAGAACGAGGGGGAGAGTGAGGGGGAGAAGGGTACGGAGAGGGCGTGTGAAATGGAGGATAGGGAGGAGAGGCAGACAGACAGCAACACGAACACAGATTACTCCCACACCTACCCCATCCTAGCCGTCATCGACATCATGTTGCTTCCAGGAAGCCGCGAGCTCTGCAGTCCGCCGCTGGACCTGGCAGAGCAGGACCCTCTGGCAGTGGGGGCGTCATCAGCTGGTGCTCTGCCTCGCTTTGACATGCACGGCGAGGTGGATCTCAGCAGCCCTGGTGCTCGCCCCTTCCTGGTGCCGCCTGAGCTGGAGCGGCTGTGTGCTGACCTCAACACCATCCGCTCCCAGAGACCCCAGGTCAGTCACTTTTCTCTCTTTTAGGTTTTCCTCGGCTGCTGGCGGCATGGCTTATGCGTCTGTACTAAGGAGGCACACTCCTTAGTGCTGCCGTGTCTAGAGTTGGTTTTGGAAAACTCAGTTGGAATTCGAGAATTGTCAGAAACCAACTCGTCCCCCTGATGCCCTCACCTCACGGGAACTCAGTGCTGGCATGTCTAGTGCCCTTAGGAGTAAACCCTCGCACGCTCTGCTTCCTCTTATCCTCGTCTCCATTGTGCCCCAACCCACCCAACTGTGCCCAACCCACCCCCCCCACAGATTGCAGAGTCACTCGTAGTGGCGTGGCTGGTGCCCTCGGGGGTGGACCCTCGCCTGCGCCGCTTCCTCCAGCAGCAGCGCCACTCACTCGTCACCAGCCGCCCCCTTCACGCCTCCCGCTTGCGTTACATCCTCTCCTGCTTCGCCCACGCCCTCTCCGGGGAGCCCATGGGGGGGTCCTCCTCCCGAAACTCATTCGCTACTGTGGTCCCATCTCCTGCCTTGGTACCTCCTGCTACTATGGTCTCATCTCCTGTGTTTGGCTCCTCTGCTGCTGCTGCTGCTGCTTCTGCAGTCCCTTTTCCCTCTGCCGAACCTGCGGGAACGTTGACCTCTGCCGAACCTGCGGGAGCGTTGACCTCTGCCGAACCTGCGGGAGGTTTTGCCACTGCCGAACCAACTTCCCTTGCAGCACCTAATGCTTCTGAGTCGCCTAGTGCTCCTTCTGCAGCAGCAGCACCCACTGCCTTGGAGGTACATGTGGAAACACTACACGAGTGCCCTGACCCTTTGGACACTGTAACGGTAACCGCCTCCTCCGCGTTACAAGGTCTATCCAGTGCTGCAAAGCCTACTGCAGCCTCAGACCCCATGGTGCCCTCTACAGCACCTGTAACAACAGCACCCGTAGCACCTGTAGCACTTGTAGTACCAGACGCACCTGTAGCACCTATAGCGGGAGTGGAGGGAGTGGGTGGAGGGGGAGGAGCAGGCACAGCAGCAGCAGGGGCAGGAAATGTTGTAGCAGGAGTAGCAGCAGCAGCAGCAGCAGCAGCAGCAACCACCACGGCAGCAGCAGCACCGGGGCTAGAAGGCTCCAGCATTGCTGCAGCAGCTGCTGGCTCTCCTCGCCTGGGCGGGTCTGGGAGGCTCTCTCACCGGGGCTCTGGTGGCTTACCACCCAAGGGCCCTGTTTCCGCTGCTGCTGTTGCTGCTGCCACCAGCTACTTTCAGTATTACCAGCCGCAGCAGCAAGGGCAGCAGCAGGGCTTTTTGGGCGCATATGCGTTGGTAGCAGGGGCTGCCAGTGCTACTTCTCCTGCTGCGGCCTCCCCAGGCAGCTTCAGTGGCGCTATGGGTGCTGCTGTAGGTGGTGGTCCTGCTCCCACACCTGACAGGCCATCTGATTTTACAGGGCCTGGGGAACCTGGAGTTCCTGCAGAGCTTGCTTCTCTCTCTTCTGATTTCACTGCGCCTACTGCTCTCTCTCCCTTCTCCCGCCCAGCAGTGCCTACCCCAGCAATGCCTGCCCCAGCAACGCCTGCCCCAGCAGTGCCATCCTTAGTGCAGTCCACAGGCTCACCCGTGGACGCCCCTCTGTCGCTCAACTCGGTGTGGGAGAGCATCATGCGCAGTAAGAGGCGCCAGTCCGCCTCTGCTGCTGCGTCTGCCTCTGCTGCTGCTGCCACCGCTTCTGCCACTACCGCTGCTGCTGGTGCTGTTTCTGCTCCTGATGCTGCTGGCGCCATGAGCGCGAAGGGCTGGATTGGAGGTGGAGGGAAGGAGGGCGATGGGAGCCACAGCTGGCGAACAGGGTTTGGGCTAGGAGGAGGAGGGTTGGCGGCAGTGGCAGCACACCCTGAGGCGCCTCAGAAGTCAGGAGGAGACTCTGGAGCAGCATTCGGAATCCACGCTGCTGCTGCTGCAGAAGCAGCAGCAGCAGGAGGTGTGGGAGGTGGGGAGGTAGGGGAGGAGGAGGGGGAGAGTGTGGAGCAGGAGGAGCAGGGGGAGGGAGGAAGTGCAAGGAGACGCCTATCTTTCACCGCTTGGCGCATGCCATCAGGCCCTGTTTTGGGATCTAGTGGTGATGCTGGGGGGGTGCCTCTAAGCATACTGCCAGTATCTGGGACTGTTTTGGCCCCTGGTGGTAATGTACCCGCTGCATCTCCTCACAGTACCCAACGACCGTCTACAACACAGCTTGCAACTCAACGCCCCTCTGCATTCCCGTACACCACTCAGCCCCCCTCTGTATCTCCTCACACACATGCCCCCTCCTTGCAGCACCGTTCGCACTCAGACCAGTTGGCTCGCATGACAAATGCCAGTCTTCCCAGCACCCATCCTCCCCGATCAAGCCTGTCGGATGGTCTCGAGCGGCTGCGGCTGATCAATCTCAACCTCACTCCTCACGCCTCCTCCTTGGCTCAACGCCCTTTCGCAGCCGCCGCCGCTGCTGGTGTCGCTGCTGCCTCCCTTGCTTCCCCCTCCGCTCTTCCTCAGTTTACCACTCTCACAAGCCCGGGCCAGGGAGGCAGCCTCAGGAGAGGCTCGGCGCAGATCCGGAAGCTGAGTGGCAGCTTCGGTAGCAGCTTCGGGGGCAATGCTGGTGGGAGGGGGGGTTTTAATGGGGGCGGAAATGTAGCTGAGAGTGGTAATCTCGGGGGAGGAATTGGCAGGTATGGTAATGGTGGTGGTGCTGCTCCTGCTGCTGCTGCTAGTGCTGCTGCTGGTGCAGGAGGCCTGGGCGGCATTGGGCTAGGCTGGCCCGGCCTGGCGAACCTGCCGCACTTCGCGTCTCTGTCCGGCGCCTCCCGCCTAGGCCTCATACGCTCCATGTCAGCTGTACAGAGCTACGCTGCTGCATCCTCCCTCTCCGTGCTCTGCCAGCCCAGCATGCTCTCAGGCTTTAGCTACGACGGTATGGGGTACGACCAAGCTAGCTTGCTGTCTGGGATAGGGTACGAGCCTATATTCGAGGGGCCTCCGAGGTCGCCTGGCGTGCCGCCTGGCGTGGTGCCTGGTGTTGGGTATGGGCAGGCTAGGCCTTATGCGAACAGTGGGAGAAGCCCGGGGGTTGGGATGCACATGAGGGGAGGAAGCGCAGGGAGTTGCGGCGGTTTTGGCATGGGCACGGGCACGGGCACGGGCATGGGCACGGGCATGGGCATGGGCATGGGCATGGGCATGGGCATGGGCATGGGCACGGGCATGGGCACGGGCATGGGCATAAGCATGAATTTGGGTGGTTCCACTGGTAATTTGCGTTCTGGTTTGCGGCACTCTGGCGCCGTTGCCACGTCACCTGCCCATGCCACGTCACCTGCCCATGCCATGTCACCTGCCAATACCACATCCCCTCACTCTCAACCATCAGCCTATCACAGGAGAGGGGCCAGCCCAGCGCCCACATTCTCCCAACCTCCAGCGTACCTTAATGGCAGTGCCATTCTCTACTCCACCCACCCCCAACAAGCAGCAGGGTTTTCCAGGGCGGGATTAGCAGCAACTAGCCCAGTATCACCTGTGCGTGAGACGCCCCAGCAGCATGCCAGCCCAGTGTCCCCCCACTGGCAGGAAAATACATTTCCCGGTGGAATTGGGGGTGGATTGGCAGCAGCTAACCCGGTGTCGCCGCACTCCCAGGCAGCAGGCTACCTGAGAGGCCTTCACGGGATGGCTCGGGCCAGCTCCGCCTCTCTTGAGGCGCCCAAAGCCATAGCTCGGGCTAGCGCAAGTGCGAGTGCAAGTGCGAGCGCGGCCCCCAAAGGCATGCCTCGCAGCAGCTCGGGCTCTCTGGAGGCATCTCGAGTCGTGGTGGGAAGGTCCGCCAGGCACCACTCCGCTAGGCACGCGACGAATGGGGCGAGTGGGGCGAGTGGGCGTGGGGCAGGGGGGTCCAGTAGTCTTTTCCGGAGCTTCTCAGCCAAGCAGCCCGCCGCTGTGCAAGTAACCGTGCAGCCAAGTGTGCAAGCCATTGTACAAACGGCCACGAAGTCAAGGATGCAAGGAGCCATGGAGCCACCAGCCATGCATTCAGCCATTCAGCCAGCCTTGCAACCTCTTGTCCAGCCAATTGTGCCCCCCAGTGTGCAACCAACCCTGCAGCCAACCTTGTACCAGGGCAGCGATGCCACTGCTGGTGCGCCCCAGTCGGAAACGCATTCCCAAGCCGGCGATAGGCTTGGTAGAGGTTCGGTAGGGGGGGCGGAATGGCTGATCAGGGTCGAGGCCAGGGAAGCAGGGCTGCCGGGGGGGGCGGTTGGGGGAGCAGGAGGAGCAGGGGGAGCGGAACTGGCAGTGGGAGCAGAAGGCAAAGGAGTGAGAGATGCTGTGGGAAAATCAGCGGAAAGGTGTGATGGTGCCAGTGCTGATTCTAGTGCTTATGCTGCTGCCAGTGCTGCTGCCAGTGGTGCTGCCAGTGCTGCTGCCAGTGCTGCTGCCAGCAATAGTGTGGAGACGGCGGAGTCAAAGGTGCTCGCTGCTTTTGGGACAGATCAGCAGGATGGGGCGCGTGCTGAGGCGCCTCAAAGCGCATCAGGGTCAGGGACACACGAGCAGGATGGGAGTAGCAGACTGTTCCGAAAAGGGACAGCCCTCGAGTTTGGGCCTCTGAGGGGCTTGTCTGTGGAAGTGCCAGGCGGTTTAGGGGAGTTTCTTGCTGTTGGGAATGGTCCAGGTGAATCTGGAGGGTTGTCAGGTGAATGCGAGGAGGTGCCTTGCGCCATGGGGAAGCACCTGGACCAGCCATCTGGGCAGAGACTGCAGCAGAGGCAGGAACACGGGCAGCAGCAACAAGAGCAAGAGCAGCAATGGCAACAGCAGCAACAGCAGCAACAGCAGCAGCAGCAAGGGCAGAAACAGCAGCAGCAGGGGCAGCAGCAGCAGCAGCATAAGCAGAAGCAGCAGCAAGAGAAGGCACCACAGTCAGCGAGCACCCATGAGTTCCCTTGGCGCCAGTCCTCATCTCTCCTGCGCTCCACATCCGGGTCCATCTTCACCACCGTATCAAGCTCCCTGTCAGGCACCCCCAGCACGCTCCTTCCTGTCCTCGTCCCTGCCTCTGACTCCTCCCGGAATCAGCATGGGTCGCCACCGCTGCCATCTCCCTCCCACACCACCCCCCCGCGCCCAGCCACCAGCCCCTGCTGTGGCGACAACCCCAGGGGCTTTCCCCAGGGAGGCAGGGGAGGGCTAGAAGGCAGGGGGGTGAGCGAGAGAAGGGCCAGGAGGGAGGGGGGAGGAGGGAGGGATAAGGGAACGGAGGGGGTTGAGTGGGTAGGTGAGGGAGAGGAGAGGCCAAGGCGTGGTTCAGGTTGGGAGGGGGCAGGAGCAGCAGGTGTGCCACCATGGGAGGGGGCAGGAGGGGGAGGCGCAGCAGCAGCTGGTGCTGCAGCAGCAGCGGGCGCACGTGTGTCGCCTTGCAGCAGCCTCAGCAGTCCCTCAGGCAACCCCAATCCGGGGGGGCTGCTGTCGTTTGGCTCTGTGGCAGAGGCGCTGAGCTCTGTGTGGGGGGGGAGGGAGAGTAGGGGTGAGGGACAGATAGAGGAGTGGGGGTCTATGGGCAAGAGGAGTGGAAGCAAAGGGAGGGTGCGGGCTGGGGGGGATGGAGGGGGGGAAGGGATAGGCGGGAGGAGGAGTAAGCAGGAGAGGCGAGGTGCCAGCAGGAGTTACAGTGATGTGCTGTTCGAGGCTCTAGGAGCTGTGCACTTGGATCCACCTGCTGCTGCTGCTGCTGCGGCTGCTGCTGCACGCCTGGATTCATTTCCAGAGTTCCAGGAAGCGGCCCACGGGAACCTGCAGCAGCAGCAGCAGCAGCAGCAGCAGCAGCAGGGGGAACCACGCCTGGCACAAACACAGTCCAAGCCCCTCTCTCTCTCCCAGTCACTCACACTGCGCCTCTCAGGGCTCTCTGGGTTCTCAGGCATCTCTGGCCTCTCGGGCTTGTCTGGCTTGTCAGGGCTCTTCCGCAGCAACTCCTCCTCAGACTACGAGGCAGCAGCAGCACTCACAGCACTGGGTGACTCGTCCCGGTTCGGTGACGGCAGCAGCAGCACGGGCAACAGCAGGCAGGGCGTGTCTGGCGCTCATGATGGCGGCACCCCGCGCCGAGCCAGCAGCGCCCGTGCCAGGGACAGCAGCGTCGGCGGCCGGCCGGGCCTGGAGTCCTCCCCAGCCGTCACATCTGGAAGGAAATCGCGGGAGGGCAGCCGGCAAAAGCAGCGGAGGGCGAAAAGAGTGTCTGAGGCATCTGCCGCCGCTGGTGGTACCTTAGCAGCCGCTGGTGCCTTTGTAGCAGCTTCTGGCGCTGCCCCTCCCACTCCCGTCCTCTCCAGTTCCTCCCGCTCAGGCAGTGTCGGCCCCTCCACCCCCACCACGCCCCCCACGGCAACCCGGCCGAGTTTTGAGGCGCCCCAGAGAAGGGGGAGGCCGAGCTTCGAGGCCCCTCAGAGCAGAGCTCGGCGGAGCATGTCAGGGTCACTCACCCCAGGCAGGGCCGCAGCAAGAGCAGCAGCAGCCGCAGCAGCAGCAGCCGCAGCCGCAGCAGCCGCAGCACCAGGGTCAGGAGCAGCAGCAGGAGCAGCCGGAGCAGCAGCAGGAACGGGTGGACCGTCAGCTTCTCCCTCTGCCTCTGGCTCGTCCGCCATGCCCACAGGCAAGCCCCTGTCAGGGCTGCACATACTAGTAGTGGAAGACACTGTAGTTCTGCAGAAGCTTGCTGCCTCCATGCTCAAGAAGATGGGCGCACGTGTGTCCGTGGCGTCAGACGGCCAGCAGGCTGTTGCTGCGGTGCTGAAGTCGTGGAAGGATGAAGATGCTAGTGCAGATGCTGCTGATGGCGCTGCTGGTGCTGGTGGTGGTGCTCCTGCTGGTAGCAGCAACGGCAGTAGTAGCAGCAGGAGGAAGAGTGGCAGCATTGCAAGAGATGCAATTCTGGCCGGCTCACCTGCAGCAGCAGCAGCAGCATCTCTAGCTGCTGGCGAGGAAGGGCAGATAGAGAGAGCTCGAAGCAGCAGCCCGGCTCAAAGGCAGACCAATTCGAGCACCACAGGCAATGCAGGAAACACAGGCGAAACAGACAGCCCCCGCACCCCTACTAGCACCGTGCGGTCCCTGTTCTCCGGTGCTGGCGCCGCCTTTCACTCCAAACCTCGCCGTGGAGGCAGCGGCACTCTCTCTTTCCTCCTCTCCCCCCTCCTCTCCACTGCAGAAGGAGGAGGAGGGGGAGGAGGGGTTGGCGAAGGGTCTGGCAGAGCAGGTGGGCAGCAGCGCCAATCAACTGAGCTTGGTGAGGCGTGGAGTGGGGTGAAGGTGGCTCCTGCTGCTGCTGTTCCACAGGACGCAGGGCGAGTTGAAGAAAGGCCCAGGTCGTCCTTTTCCAACCCGTTTGACTCACTGGGGACAGCTGCAGCAGCAGCAGCAGCACCATCGGTGGCAGCAGGGTATGCCAGTGATGCTGTGGCTGCAGCTCGGGTGGATGGGCCCAGCAGCAGTGGGACGAGTGGAGGGGACGCAGCAGCAGCAGCAGCAGCAGCAGCAGCTCCATTTGACATTGTACTTATGGACTGCCAGGTACTCTTCCTCTTGGCTTTGCCTCCATTCTTGACTGCCAGCAGTGGGATTCGTGCTCCTTCTCCTTTGCCTCTGCTTGGCTTGGCTTTTTTCTTCTTCTCCTTTCTTTCTTTCTTTCCGGCAGGGCCCCTTTGCCCTGTAGTCCCGGCCCTTGTGTCACAGTTTTCTGTTTCCTTCCTACCTCCACCCTATGTTGCCATAAACGCTTTTTTAGGGGAGCGTCTAGCTTATACACGCTAGCGTGTATACGCATACGCTACGCAGGCAGATACGCTATACGCTCGGGTAAAATTTCTGGGGCAGCCCGACAAAAAAACTGGGAGTTTTTTTTTCCGCGATTTCTCGACATGGCGAATTCATCGACACAATCGCCCAGTCGCGAAACCCAACCAGGGAGGTCGAAGTGGGTTCCAACCAATTTCCCTCCCCTTCACCGCACTGAACTCCCCTACATCTAGAAAACCCAACCTTCACGCACAAATCCTCCTCTCTCCACTCTCTCCCTTCCCCCCGTCCATTCGCGTCAACCCTAGTACACCTGTTCTCCTATTTAATCCCACGGTTTTTGCACGCGGCTCGAGCCTGTAAGCAGGAAATTGTAAAACACGGGCAAACGGGACCTTGAAGGGGAAATCCCACAGTAAACAATGACACTTGGTTACAGAATCTCGCTCATGCACTAGATTAGTTGCCTGCGCGACCTCCCAGCTCTGAATCTCGCAATTGTTGAAATTCAACTTGGCTGTTCACTATCGTTCAGACTGCAGCCAATCAGGTTCAGTGTCAACGCGAGTTATGCTGAGAACGTGGTAGGTGAGATTGCGATTTGGACTGTTCCGGGTGGAACAATAGAGGGGAAAAGGTGTAGAAATGCCGCCGCGTAGTCAGCGCAATTCTCCTAGCGACTCCGCCTCATAGTCTACCCGTCGCGTTGTTAATTAAGTTATCGCACTACGATAATGTCGACCGCTTTTAGCGATGCGGGCGCGCAAGGCTATTGCGCCCACATCGTCGACGACATACGAACCTGATAGTACACACTAGGCTTTTTGGAAAGGAGGTAGGAGTCACGCAGAAAGTCGGTGTATGCTTCTTTTTCCCTGCCGGGGTAAACATTTTAGCCTGCCCGGGCTAGCGTATACCTAGCGTATGAAAGGCCGAGTCCAAGCGTTTAGCGTATAAACGCTAGCGTATATTCGCCAAACGCGTTTATGGCAACATAGCCTCCACCTATGCTCCTGCAATCACTATGTGCCACGATGACTGTGCTTGACGTGCCTCGAAGCATGCCTTGGAGCTCCCCTTTTTTATTTTTGAGTCAAAAGTCACCTCTTTTGAGTCAACTCAAAAGGAGCTCCCCTTTTTCCTGCTTTCCCCATTCCCCCGTCCCCCCATCAACCCGTCCCCCCATCAACCCGTCCCCCCATCCCCCCGTCCCCCATCAACCCGTCCCCCCATCAACCCGTCCCCCCATCCCCCCGTCCCCCCATCAACCCGTCCCCCCATCAACCCGTCCCCCATCACCCGTCCCCCCATCAACCCGTCCCCCATCAACCCGTCCCCCCATCCCCCGTCCCCCATCAACCCGTCCCCCCATCCCCCCGTCCCCCCATCAACCCGTCCCCCCATCAATCCGTCCCCCCATCCCCCCGTCCCCCCATCAACCCGCCCCCCCATCAACCCGTCCCCCCATCAACCCGTCCCCCCATCAACCCGTCCCCCCATCAACCCGTCCCCCCATCAACCCGTCCCCCCATCCCCCCGTCCCCCCATCAACCCGTCCCCCCATCAACCCGTCCCCCCATCAACCCGTCCCCCCATCAACCCGTCCCCCCATCAACCCGTCCCCCCATCAACCCGTCCCCCCATCAACCCGTCCCCCCATCAACCCGTCCCCCCATCAACCCGTCCCCCCATCAACCCGTCCCCCCATCAACCCGTCCCCCCATCAACCCGTCCCCCCATCAACCCGTCCCCCCATCAACCCGTCCCCCATCCCCGTCCCCCCATCAACCCGTCCCCCCATCAACCCGTCCCCCCATCCCCCGTCCCCCATCAACCCGTCCCCCCATCCCCCGTCCCCCCATCAACCCGTCCCCCATCCCCCGTCCCCCATCAACCCGTCCCCCCATCCCCCCGTCCCCCCATCAACCCGTCCCCCCATCAACCCGTCCCCCCATCCCCCGTCCCCCCATCCCCGTGTCTTGTGATGGGCAGATGCCAGTGATGGACGAGTACACGGCCACAAGGGCCACGTGTCAAAGGCCAAGACACACCCTATATGTTCTTGACAATCTCAAGCCACCTTTCACATCCCCCCCTTGGACAGATGCCAGTGATGGACGGGTACACGGCCACAAAGGCCACGTGTCAGGAGTGAAGCCACACCTTATATGTTCTTGACAATCTCAATCCACGTTTCACTAGCCACCTTTCACTAGCCACCTTTCACTAGCCACCTTCCACATCCCCGCCTTGAGCAGATGCCAGTGATGGACGGGTACACGGCCACGAGGGCCATTCGTGCAGCGGAGAGGGGCACGGGTCGCCACACCATCATCTGCGCACTCACAGCTCACGCGCTCGCCAGGTGAGGGGGGATCACAGGTGATAAAGTACCGCTTTGCACCGCTTGGCACACCATCATCTGTGCGCTCACAGCTCACGCGCTCGCCAGGTGAGGGGGGATCACAGGTGATGCTGTACCGCTTTGCACCGCTTGGCACACCATCATCTGCGCGCTCACAGCTCACGCGCTCGCCAGGTGAGGGGGTGACTGGTTGTGCTGTGCCGCCTTGTGTGCGAGACCATTTATGCGTCACATTGAGGGTGCACAGGCCAGTCCACCAGCTTCTGCTTTTGTGTCGACTCTAAAGCAGGAGGGGGGTGACTGGTTGTGCTGTGCCGCCTTGTGTGCGAGACCATTTATGCGTCACATTGAGGGTGCACAGGCCAGTCCACCAGCTTCTGCTTTTGAGTCGACTCAAAAGCAGGTGAGGGGGGTGACAGGTTGTGCTGTGCCGCCTTGTGTGCGAGACCATATACTCGCCGCATTGAGGGTACACAGGTCGGTCCAGCATCTGCTACCCCCATTCTTCCATTCGCCCGTTCTTTATTGTCCCATTCTCCCAATTTACCACTGCACGGCCATTCACTTCCACACAGGGACGAGGCCAATTGCAGGCCGTGTTACATGTTTCTGTTGACCTCATGCCCCGCTATCTCTCTCTCTCATTCTTATCTCTGCACATCCGCTTGTGTTGCCTGCAGTGACGAGGCCAAGTGCAGACAGTCAGGAATGGACGGCTACCTCACCAAACCAATTAACATACGGTGCGTAATTTCATTCGGGGTTGTGCCTTTCTTTTGCATGTTGGCACATGCAGTCTGTTGGGGTAGGGCTCAAAAGCACAGTTCCTCTTCAGTTGGGGAATCCCTCTTCAATGGCATTGTAACTTGTAAGCATCTCAATCAATCCTCTGCCTACCTTTGGGTTTGGGTGTGCTCCTTTGTGCAGATTGCTGGTTGACACGATTCAGCGGCTGGTCAGCAGCAACAGGAGGGCTGCAAGGCGAAGCCTGAGCAACCTTGGCATGGCTGCTGGGGCTGGTGGCAGCGGCACTGCCAATCCAGGCAGCTTCAGCAGCGCCTCTAGTAATAGCCCATACACCAGTCCTCTAGGGTCAGCTGCCAGTAGTATCCACCCTAGTACAGGCATACGGGCATCACTGTCTTACACCATGGGGGCTGAAAGGGTAGGGGCATCGAACAATGCGAACTGACCCAGCTATGTAATGATAAGTGTACATGTTTCCACAGTGCATTTCTTATACCAGTACAGATGAGGACAGATGCAATCCTGTTGAAAACGGTCAGTAGTGGAAATACTAGCATCACTTGAGCACGGTCAGTGGTGGAAATACTAACAATACTAGCATCACTTCACAGCATCAACTCACAGCATCATTTCATGCCAGAACGAAGTATACACTAGTTGTGGTGAACTACAAGAGCTGAAAGCGACCTCCAGCCATGCCTCATTCACCAGGAATCGAAACCCCCTGCTTGAGTCGCTCCCGCTTGAGCTTCCTCTGTGAAACGGCCTTCTTCCTCTTTGGAGGCAGCACGCTCTGCGCGTAGAAGTACATGGCGGCGTGGCCCACCAGGAAGAGCACGAAGAAGCCCACTACGACCAGGATGACCAGGAGCGTGGGGTTGAAGCCGGCAGGCGGTGGCGTTTGACCCTGCGGAAGTGGGGAAGAAGAGGTTTGAGAAACGAGTGAGGGAGGACGGGAAGTAGCTTGGGAGTTCAGGATCAAGAAGGAAAATGGCATGCGGAAATGAGGCGTAATGCTGAGCCGAGGAGATCAGCTCAGCTCGAGGGACTGTTACGTACGAAGTATAAGATGTGAAAATTGTGTAATGCTAGATCCACACGGAAAAATCGCGACGACGTAAGATGAACCTGATCGGAGCTCCGAGTCCGCGTAGAAAGCATTTATCAGGCTGGACGATCGGCTTTGCTTGTCGAAAATCACTCAATCATTGACATTCTTTTTCCTACAGCGTCTACCGTTCTTTTTCTTCCGGGATTTCGTATAAAACAATGAGAAATAGAAGTCGCATTACCTCTCCTGGGCCCGCCATGACGAGATGTCCTCAGCAAGATCCTTCAAGAAATGTCCTTCACGGGTAAATTACGTGGCAGAAGGATATGGCAAGAGAAGGACGTTTAGGGTCCCGGAATCTGTGACTGCGAACTAAAATCTAGGGTGAATGGAATGTGCGTGTATAGTTGGTCAGGAATCAGGAAGTGGCTGGCAGTAGTAACAGGAGTTCGGTTGGTTGGGAGGAATTCTAGAATCTGGTGTTCTGCAATCCAGTAGCGAGCAGGAGAGAAGTCCTAGAGGCCAAGGGAGAAGTGATGTTGTTGTATGGCCTGTGATAGTAGAGAGAGGAGAGCTGAGCGAGGCTTGTCAGGTCCGAGGCACAGTAGCCGTTGGCTCGGTTGGTGGTGGCTCTGCGACTAGGACTTGGAGATTGACGACCAAGGAGGAGAGCGGGATTGGTTGCAGAGGAAGTTTGGCGCCAAACCCCTAATCGGACCACTGATTGGCTCACCAATTCATATCGCAGCAACGTTGAGATGAGGTACAGTGATACTGACAATGACATGATTTTCTTACCGAAAAGAGATTTGACAATGTTGTAACGCGGATTTTCCCATGGTGATTCGGTAATCCCACTCCCAGACCCTGGCATTTGGCTTTCAAAAGGTCACATTTCTGATACTTGCTCTGCAGCCATTGAATGGAATGAATCTTGTTCAGAACGAGCATAATGTGCTGTTGCCATCATGTCATGGCGTTCGTGCTCTGCTCCCGTTCGGTCCTTCCCGAGAAAGCATAGTTCTCGCTCTTGGCTTTTCGGTCAACGAGTTGACAACGCGAGGTTCATCTATACCGGACAGTCTTTCCTACTTGCCGGCGCCGGCAGGCAGGCTCCACGTGCAGACGGCGATGGGGTAACCAGATCCTCCTGGCGCGTAGTGGTATTCGCGAGTTCGCTTGAGCGACGTAAGCGACAAAAAGGAGCCGGTAACCAGGTCGGCGAAGACATAAAGGCGAAAGGCGAGCCTGGAAGGATTAGACGAGCTTCGAGAAAGTATGTAGACGTGCGTTCGCCTTGTAATGTCTGAGATTGTGACTAGTTTGCGACGTTTCACGGTTGAAGAATTCACCCTATCAGTTAATGCCTCACTCCGTCCGTCACACCTCAACTGGCAGTCTGTTATCGATTGCGCTCATCCCTTCGTCCACGTCACTGCTCTTTGTGACTTTGAATCGGCTCAAAAGTCACCCCGTCCGTCACGCCTCAACTGGCCGTATGTTATCCGTTGCGTTCATCCCATGATCCACGTCACTGCTCTTTATCCACAGGAATCATTTGAGGAAGGAGAGGGGTGGTAGCACACGAGAGGGAGGAGGAGGAGGAGAGCAATCGAAACCCCTGGCTGCTGCTTCAGAAGAGACGCTAGACGGGAAGCAGCATGGTGATGACGAAGACATGCACGGTCAACCCATGCAACGGAAGCAACAAGATTGGATCTCGTCCGTTGGTTCGCCTAACGGTAATGCATCACCTCGACAAGTATTGAATCGCAACTCTAGGAGATCTGTACGCAATGATGCTGAACTGCATATAATTTCATCTGCAATGCTTCATTCACAGTCAATCATGCATTTTCAAGTACAATTATGGCGTCATACTCATTCGCACGCGCCATCCCGTGCCTTTCTTACACAACACTACGCTTCACCACATGCCCCCTCATTCTCAGGTATCTGACCGTCTAATCATCCCTCCCCACAACCCTCCCCCCCACATTGCTCATCCAACCCAAGAGTCACTCCACCTTCCGCCTTCTCTCTCTTTCCTTTCCAACCTCTCCTCACCCCTCCGTCTCTCCATTTCCCGCCCTTTCCCATCTTTCTCTTGCCCAGTTTCTACCCGCAGCAGCAGCAGCAGCAGCAGCAGCAGCCCTGCACCATCTCCCACGCTGCTGACCCTCGCAGTGGTCGCTGCGTCTTGCGCCGCTGCTGTGCTGCTGCTGCACTCCCGGCTCTCCCAGACGGCAGAGAAGACTGCAGAGAAGCACTCAGGCGCACAGGAGGGCCCGCTGGGGGGGACAGGAGGGACGGCAGGGGACGTGCGGTTGGCGGCAGGGGAGAGCATTGCGGAGTGGGAGGAGGGGTCAGCAATAGCCGAGGAGGGAAGTGCTGGGGAGATGGAAGGGAGCGAAACGGATGGGACAGTAAGGACAGAAAGGACTGGGCAGGAATGGCTTGGCCCGCCTGTGGCTGGAGGGGCGGAGAGCAAAGAGCGGGTGGGGGGGCAGCAGGGGGGCGAGGAGAGGAAGGGAGGGGCGGAGACAAGAGGCGAGAGTGGGGCCAGAGGAAAGGACGTGGAGGGTGATGGTTGGGCGGATACGAAGGGGAGAGGCAGCGGTGGCGAGGACGGGGATGAGAAGAGAGATGAGGGGAGGGATGGGGTAGGGGATGAGGGAGACCTTCCAGAAGACTCAGAAGAAGGCAATCGTCTCAAGACGCTTCAAGGTAACGAAGTAACCATACGCAGACTTTGTATGATCCCCATCATCCCTGTTCCCCCGCAAGTCCGTGTAACTTGTGATTTTCAAGGTCTCGGATTCATTCTTTCCATTATCGCGTGATAGAAGTCGAGCTTTGAGGCGCCTCAAAACTTGATTTTCAAGGTCTCGGATTCATTCTTTCCATTATCCGTTTCTTGTGTCTGGCCTTTTTTTTAGGCTCCTCTTTTTGAGGCGTCTATTTTTTAGGCACCTATATTTTAGGCGCCTCAAAAATAGGTCTCGGATTCATTCTTTCCATTATCCGTTTCTTGTGTCTGGCCTTTTGATAATCACATTGCCCTTTGGTTTCCCCTTGGCTCGCCCAACAGCTCAAGCCGTTAACGATTGGAGCAACCAGATCGTGCTGCAGGTAAGCGGTTTATCAGATGCGTTTCTTTGCGTTAACAATCTGAAGTACCTTTTATACAATCGCATGTGCTCAATCATTCTGTGCGATTGGAACGTCACTCGTAGCCTCCAGTTCGCCTCTCTCCCACCCATGTCTTGTCTCGCTCTCTCACCCTTTCCTGAGGTGCCTCAAAAATAGACTCCTTTCCTGAGGCGCCTCAAAAATAGACTACTCCAGTTTTTTAGGCGCCTCAAAAATAGACTCCTCCAGTTCACCTCTCTCCCACCCATGTCTTAACTCGCGCTCTCACCCTTTCCTTCCTCCAGGGCTTTCACTGGGAGTCCCACCACCACCCCCAGGGCTGGTGGCAGCACCTCACCTCCCTCGCGCCTCTCATTGCTGCTGCTGGCTTCACGGCTGTGTGGCTGCCCCCCGCCTCTTCGTCTCTCGCCCCTCAAGGTAAACCCTAAGAGAGCCAGGGTTTTACCCTTGGAGCATGCCTCGTGCTCCAGTTTTGAGGCACCTCAAAATTGGAGCATGCCTCGTGCTCCGCCATTCGTCTAGTGATCTCATCGCTCTGACTGCTTCTCCGCCATTTCTTCTTTTCCGCACTCCCCCCCTCCCAGGCTATCTCCCCAAGGACCTCTACCATCTCTCGTCAGCATGCAGATCTGAGTCCGGCCCTCGATCCCTCATTTCTGCTTTAAGAGGCGCCTCAGAACACCTCCCCATTGAAACCGCTCCTGCTTCTCCACCATCTCTCCTTCCGAGGCTACCTCCCCAGGGACCTCTACCATCTCGCATCAGCGTACGGCGTCCAGAGACTGGAAATGACTTTTGAGTCGACTCAAAAGTCACCTCGGACACTGGGAATATGTTTTTTGAGGCGCCTCAAGAATATGAGCCGTTTGTAACGTCTCACTGCCTCACTCCCCCCTCTCGTCCCTATCCCTCCAGGCTACCTCCCCAGGGACCTCTACCGTCTCGCATCAGCGTACGGCTCTGAGGCCGACCTCCGCTCCCTCATTGCCGCATTCAGAGCCGCCCTGCCCAGCGAGCGAGGGACTTGCTCTGCTGGCTCGGCTGCCGCCCCAGGCGCTGATGGCAGTAGCATCCAGAGCGTTAGTGGTGGCAATGGCTCAGCACGTGATGGCCTTCAGCATGCTGTGAACGAAGGGGAGATAGTGAGGGACGGAGAGGTGCCGAGGGGAGGAGGGGAACTGGTTGAAGGAGGGGAGCAGAGTGAAAAGCAGCTGCTGCCTGTTGTGGCTGCAGAAGCAACAAGGGCTGGTCCAGGAACTACGGCGGTTGCAGCAGCAGGTGCTGCAGGAGGGTTGGTAGAGCTCGCTTCAAATGCCCATGAGCCTCGTGCTCGTTCTGCTGCTGCCGGTGAAGCTGTCGCTGCAGGTGCTGCCGATGCAACTGGAAGGCAAACATTCCCAAATGCAGTGGGGGTAGATGCATCGGGAGTGAGGGTAATCGCAGACGTGGTGGTTAACCACCGGGTGGGCAGCCAGCAGGGGGAGGGCGGGCAGTGGACACGGTATGATGGCACGTCCATGCCGTGGGACGAGACTGCTGTCACGTGTGACACCGGGGGCAAGGTGAGATGGGGCAAGCCGAGAAGGTGAGATGGGGCAAGCCGAGAAGGTGAGATGGGGCAAGCCGAGAAAGTGAGATGGGGCAAGCCGAGAAGGTGAGATTGGGGTGCAAAGAGTTGAGTGGGATAAGGAGGGCAGTGGACTCGATTCGATGGCACGTCCATGCCATGGGACGAGACTGCTGTCACGTGTGACACTGGGGGCAAGGTGAGATGGGGCACGGTGAGATGGGGCAAGGTGAGATGGGGCAAGGTGAGATGGGCCAAGGTGAGGTGGGCCAAGGTGAGATGGGGCAAGGTGAGGTGGGCCAAGGTGAGATGGGGCAAGGTGAGATGACGCATCTCTTTCACTTCCTTTCCCTTATCTCGTTCCTTTTCCTCCCCCTTCTCCCCAGGGTAGCCCCAGCAGCAGCTGTGTGTTTGAGGGCGTGTGGTTGAGGGCGTATCTAACATCATCAACCCCTCCTCCCTACCTCCCCCCTCTTCTCCCCGTCTCTTCCCTCTTTCCCCCCCCCCCCCCCCGCCCCCATGGCAGGGCAACCCCAGCAGCGGCAGTGTGTTTGAGGGGGTGTCCAATATCGACCACTCCCATCCGTTTGTGCGCCGAGACATCACTGCATGGCTGACGTGGCTCCAGGTGAGTCTTGCTGATCAGGGTTGGGTGCATGGTGTGAGAAATGAAGTGATGGATGGATCAGAAAGGAGGGAGTTTTACATAGGAAGGGAAGTGGGGGGTTAGTTGGGTCCTAAGCCAAAACTTTTTGCCCTCCCCAACGAGTTGGGTTGACCAAATTCTTGGGGGAGGGTGTCCAATCAACTTGGCCAAGATTATTGGGGGTCCCAATAAACGTGTTTGGGATCATTGGAGATCCCAATGATTGAGGGCCCAACTCTTGGAGGCCAAGAATAAGCAAGGAGAGGAACCAAACTCTTTTGGGAACCCAACCCCTAGCTGGACTCACTGGTCCACTGGACCACTGGACCACTGGATCACTGGACCACACCACTAAACCACTGGACCACTGGACCACTGGACTACTGGACCACTGGACCTCTGGACCACTGGATCACTGGACCACTGGATCACTGGATCACTGGATCACTGGACCACTGGACCACTGAACCACACCACTAAACCACTGGACCACTGGACCACTGGACCATACCACTAAACCACTGGACCACTGGGCCACTGGGCCACTGGACCACTGGACCACTGGACTACTGGACCACTGGACCACTGGACCACTGGATCACTGGATCACTGCCCCACACCACTAAACCACTGGACCACTGGATCACTGCACCACTGGACCACTGGACCACACCACTAAACCACTGGACCACTGGGCCACTGGGCCACTGGACCACTGGACCACTGGACTACTGGACCACTGGACCACTGGACCACTGGATCACTGGATCACTGGACCACTGGACCACTAAACCACTGGACCACTAAACCACTGGACCACTGGACCACTGGACCACTGGACCACTGGATCACTGGATCACTGGACCACACCACCAAACCACTGGACCACTGGACCACTGGACCACACCACTAAACCACTGGACCACTGGACCGCTGTACAACTGCCCCACACCACTAAACCGCTGGACCACTGGACCACTGGATCACTGGATCACTGGGCCACTGGACCACACCACTAAACCACTGGACCACCAAACTACTGGACCACAGGACCACTGGACCACTAGACCACTGGACCACTCGATCACTGGATGGATCACTGTATCACTGCTGGGTGCATGGGTGCATGTCTTGGTGGTTTAGCCGAAGGTTCGCTTGCACCCTTGCTGCATGTGCGAGGTATCGTGCGTACACTGTGGAGGGACATGTGGGCTTTTTCCGGGTTCGTGGGGGTGAGTGGCGGAGCCACATCCGATGGTATCTCCTCACCTGCCCCTTGACTCCACCCTGTGCCCCCATGCCCCATGCACCCAGGGTGACGTGGGATTCTCGGGCTTCCGATTTGACTACGCCAAGGGCTACAGCCCTGCGTATGTGCGGGGGTATGTGGGGGAGGCAGGGCTGAGGCTGTGCGTGGGCGAGTACTGGGACACCTGCAACTACGTTGGGCCGCAATATGACTTAGACTATGATCAAGGTGAGAATACGAAACCTATTTTGCATGGGGTTCTCTAGCTCCAATTCCGCAGTCAGTATCTCAGCAGTTGTGTGGCTCTCTACAGGCGGCCAAATGGGCCGTACTTCTTTGATGTAAATACAGAAGAATGCATGGTTCGCCTCGGCCCCTGTATCCTCCCCCAGTTGTCACCTCATACCCGTTCCCGTGCAGCCAGACTCTCACCGGCAGCGCATTGTGGAGTGGATAGAAGGGGCGGGCAGACTAGCAGCAGCCTTTGACTTCACCACCAAGGCGGTGCTGCAGGTGGGTGAGCGGATCCGTGTCCCCTTAGATCTCAAACGAAGGGGGCTTGATTCGAGCTAAGATATGGACAGGCTGGCAGCGGCCTTTGACTTCAACACCGAGGTGGTGCTGCTGGTCAGTGAGGCTTGGCATGCTGGTGCGCATGCAGCAAGCACCTCAATCCAGCTCGATGCTGCCAGACTCCCGTCTGCAGTGCACGCCAACAGACTGGCAGCAGTCACCAAGGCGGTGCTGCAGGTGAGGGCTGGCAATTTCCGTGTAACTGTAAACTGAGAACGTCTCGATTATTGTAAGTTGGAACAGTGATTCATGCTTGACTTTGCTATCAACACCGCCAATCAAGGTTGTTATTTTTGAGGCGCCTCAAAAATTGATTCATGCTTGACTTTGCTATCAACACCACCAATCAAGGTTGTTGTGCATGTGAGGCTGCCTCCCTAAATCTCCTGCCAACTCAAATCTCAAGTTTTTTATCTTCCCCTCCCTAATTCCCTGCAGGAGGCAGTGAAACGGAAGGAGTGGTGGCGGCTAAAGGACAAGGAAGGCCGCCCACCAGGCGTGATTGGGCTGCTGCCCTCCCATGCAGTCACCTTTGTGGATAATCACGACACCGGCTCCACCCAGGTGAAAACAACAGGCGTTCAGGAGAATGCATCATATGCTCAGGTGCTGTCACGTCCTGTGGCGAGTCCTATGCACACCTAAGGTAACCTGTCATAGGCACACATTCACACATACAGTTGAAGCTGTGCTTCTCTGTCTGCTGATCTGTTCGATCTTTCTGCTACTGGCGGGCTGATGCTTTTTCCCACTGCTCCTTATTTGTACTCTCTTGACTTTGCTCCTGTTCTCCTTCTTACCCCATCGCGTCTGTGGGCATGCAGGCGCACTGGCCCTTCCCCTCACATGACGTCATTCAGGTAAAGCAGTTCCCCATCAACTCGTAGGTGACTTTTGAGTCGAATCAAAAGTCAGTTCCCCATCAACTCTGGTCTTCATTGCGCCTGGTTTAGGCATCATCATTACAATCCTCTTCTCACCTTCGACCCATTTATGATGCGACCATCGCACCACACACTCATCAACAGGGCCACGCCACCACCACCGCCGCCACCTCCCCTCACGCACCACTCTCTCTCTCTCTCTCTCTCTCTCTCTCTCTCTCTCTCTCTCTCTCTCTCTCTCTCTCTCTCTCTCTCTCTCTCTCTCTCTCCTTCTATCTCTCTCTCTCTCTCTCTCCCCCCCCCCCCCCCCCAACAGGGCTATGCCTACATCCTCACACATCCGGGCATCCCATCGGTGTTCTTCGACCATTTCTTCGACTGGGGCCCGGATCTTCAGAACAAGATTCAACAACTGGTGAGCCGATTTTATCATTGCTAAGGTTCCAAAGGATATGTGGCGAGCCTTACTGTACAAGTACTCGCTTACACGTCACATAATTCACTTGAAGCCATGAGTTTTGACATGGCGTGCGTATGTGTCCCTGGTACAATCTATTACCACGACTTATTGGTTGTTCCACTTTTGGCAGATCGATGCTCGGCGAAAGGCATGCTTACATAGCCGTTCCTTGATCCAGATACTGGCAGCAGATGGCGGTCGCTATGCGGCCATTGTTGGGGGGAGATTGTGTGTGAAGATTGGAGATGCGGATTGGAGCCCGGATTCATATGGGTTGGTGAGTGGTGAGAGTGACAAAATAAATTGTGGAAGTGTAAAGAGTGACAAGACAAGTGATTGCAAATGGAACTTGAATACGTGTGGGGAGGGATATGCTGTATGGATCTGGGAATGATTAAACCAATTGTTGTGTGACATCTCGTCTGAGCTTTATACATAAGAACTGTATGGTTTTGTATTGTTTGATCCCTGGCTAAATTGAGTCAGAATAGCGATGTGCGTTACAGCGAATCTCCTCGCCCCGACAATTCATGACGCGAGCCATTTCCCGCCAAAACTAGCATATCCTGAATTCCGTCTTCAGCAGTACGTAATCCTGATCAGCTTTTCCGATAGCTTTCCTATTCGCGATTCGTCCTCAGTTGCAGGCGCGGGATGGACGACTGTGATGCTTGCGACGTTAGACCTCAGTCGCAGCATGCGTGCGACGACATCTGGTAGTTAACCGCCTCCGAAATTACGTGCTAACGACGCGTTGGTTTCGTGCGACTACGGATGCGAGGGGTGTCAGATGAGTCTTTTGATCTGGTCTGCAAACGCGGGTCCGTGGCTCAGAGTCCTTACCTCGTCCGTGCCGTCAACGACGCTTTACCATTCACCAGACACCGTCTGGTGACTACGGTAAAATACTAAGGAGTAGCTCTCGAGAAGGAAGGTCGTCGGACACCCCTGATCGAGTGCTCGTTATCGAGATGATCAGGTGTTACCGTTACTAGGCTTAGTTCACTATGTTGAAGGGGCTTTTGAACTGACAGTAACCAGCAACTCTAGAGTTTCGGGTAACCTGGTTATTAATTAGGACTAGACTGCTAACTGTTGACTAACTCTAGAGTAGGGTGTCCTTGCCTCGCCATCGCTCATGGCTTCAGAAATCCGTTCCGTCCGCGTTAGTATCCTTCGCATCGCGGTTAGGAGTCGTTATATCAGGATGGCGTGTTCGCTTTTCCTGCTGGCGCTCCTAGCCTCGGGAATTCCGCCAGTCACCGCATTCGACGATTCTATTGGCGGCAGTTACACATTCGGCGACTACCACCGGCAACCAGGAGCCTCCAACGGCTATAAAGTTCAAGGTGTGCCTTCTGGAGCTTCTGATTCGCTGATCCACGCTCTGATACCATGAGTCTCGCTCGGACATTCCTAACCGCTTCCACCTCCGTACGCCCTCAATTCCCTCTCCTAGCCATCCAGCCCCCTCAGCGATTCTCTTGGAGCCCCTCAGCGATTCTCTTGGAGCCCCTCGGCGATTCTCTTGTCGTCTGAGCCCCCCCCAAGTCCCAAACGCACCCCCCTGCTCAGTTGAGTTGGTTCTAGAAAAAACACAGATTCAATTCCCAGCCCCTTGCTCACCCAATCCCTCCCCTTCCCCTCCTAACCCTTCCTGCAGAGCTCCGCTTGGGCGACAACAACGTGGAAGTTTCGCATTCAGTGCCAGCAGGCGACGCCACTCCCTCCGTCTACATTGCTCGCACGCGCCTCCCCGCTCGCTCCCGCGTGGGGGGCCTGTCTCGCGGCTTCCACATCCTCAGAGTCACGGCCACCATCCCTGCGGCGATATCGCCACGCCCAATGTTCACTGGCTCTGGCCCGTCGAAATTCGAATTTTGCGTACATTGGTGAGTGCCGCTAGTGCTTTCCAGCTTGCGCTTTTCATTGGCCACCCACCGTCCTTCCTTTCCTCCCTTGGCTGCTGCTCTATGCTCTCTCAGATACCCAGCCATGTGCGTTGCCATGGGGGGGGCATGGAGCGACATGGAGGGCCTCTGGACAGGAAGGGGCGATGGGTGGTGCTGTGGTGACCCTTGAACGATGTTCCCGTGTCCCCTCCCATGCTCTCCCGTGTGTCCCCCAAGGAACGCAACGGAACCGCTAGGGGAATGCCCAAGGGGGGCGTGGAGGGCGGCGGACAGGAAGGGGCGCTGGGTCGTGCTGAGGTCGCCTTTTGAGGGCGCGTTCGTTGATGTGAAGAGGGAGGGAGGGGGGGGCGGGGATCAAGACATCAGCATGAGTATTGATGAAGGTGCGTGGGAGTGAAGAAACGCAGAGTATTCGGGTTGAACTTTGGCCTCAACAGATCTAGGCTGCATCAAGCAGTGTATGTCACGCTCGGCTTCCTCCTAATGCTGCTGGCCGGCCACCTCAGCTCGAACCTCCTATCCCCTGCCCCACCCATACCTTCGGCTACCCCTTCATTCCCAAGCAGACCTAGAGGTGCATCGAGCGGTGTTCTTCGTGCTGGGCTTCTTCTTGATGCTGCTGGCCGGTCATCTGAGCTCCATGGTTGCGTTCTACTATGGCGGGGGCATGACCCTCGGCGTGCTGCTAGTTGTGATAGTGATTCTCTACCAGGTATGCTTCGCTGTACAGCGATATTTGAGGCGCCTCAAAAATTGTGCAGCGATATTCTCGACTGATGGCAGTGGCTGTTCTCTACGTTACCCACTGCCATCAGCTCCATGGTTGCGTTCTACTATGGCGGGGTAGACCTTTGGCGTGCTGCCGGTGGTCATCGTGATTCTCTACCAGGTATAGTGTCTTGCAGTGTACTGTTTTACTCTTTCCTGGCCAGTACCAGGGCCGATACCATACTGTTTGTAAGCATCCCGTTTCTCACCCGATGTCCTCTCAACCCCCTTTTGCTAGTTCCCTGCCCTTTTTTCAACGTGAAACATCCTTCCAACCTTTCCCACCACCACCCCCCATCAGGTTATGCGGTTGCTTCCCCTGGGTCGCAAGAGCAGCCTTCAGATTCTTCTCTATGGCTCGCTGGTGTGTCCCCCTGCATGCATGCATGCCTGCATATGTGTGTGAGCGTGAGTGTGAGTGCGAGTATGCATGTATGCACCTCATGTCGGTGCGCGTGTGTGCCCCCCCTGGGTCGCAATAGCAGCCTTGAGATTCTTCTCTATGGCACACTGGTATGTCCCCCTGCGTGGATGCATGTGTGTGTGTGAGAGAGTGCGAGTACACATGTAGGCCCCCCTTGTGTGTGCATACGTGTGCTTCCCCTGGGTCGCAATAGCAGCCTTCAGATTCTGCTCAATGGTGCAGCTGCATGGGCGTGTGCAATCATTTCTAGCCGCGTGTGCGACTCTGTTTCCCACAAGATGCACACATGTTCCCGTCCCACCCCACATGTTCCCGTCCCACCCCACCCGTTCTGAGGCGCCTCAAAACCCGTCCCACCCCACCCGTCCCACCCCACCCGTTCCACCCCACCCGTTCCACCCCACGCGTTCTGAGGCGCCTCAAAGCTAGATGCACACATGTTCCTGTCTCACCCCACCCGTTCCTATCCGATGGGGTTCATACGATAGGACTGATCGTGACATCCATCACAGGCGCACGATAGGACTGATCGTGACATCCATCACAGGCGCACGATAGGACTGATCGTGACATCCATCACAGGCGCCATCAAGACTGTCATGGAGCCTCGAAGGACACCCACATTCACGCATGCGCTATTGCATTCCTCCCTGGCCGTCCCCCATCGCTGCCAGATGGGGTTCATAGGAGTCATCGTGACGTACGTGACAGGGGCGATCAAGACTGTCATGGAGCCTCTTGGTCTGGGCGATGACGTCATTTCTCCGGTAAACACTCTGGCTTTGCTGCCTGCAACGGGTAGCAGTTCTTCGTCTGCCATCTAGTTCTAGTTTTGAGAAAGCTTCTCCGTTCACTGGCTTTGAGACGTCTCTGTTGCCTATGCGCGATTGATGGGCATCTTTCCTATGAGCGATTGATGGGCATCTTTCCTATGAGCGATTGATGGGCATCTTTCCTATGAGCGATTGATGGGCATCTTACCTACGAGCGATTGATGGGCATCTTACCTACGAGCGATTGATGGGCATCTTTCCTATGAGCGATTGATGGGCATCTTACCTACGAGCGATTGATGGGCATCTTTCCTATGAGCGATTGATGGGCATCTTTCCTATGAGCGATTGATGGGCATCTTTCCTATGAGGGATTGATGGGCATCTTACCTACGAGCGATTGATGGGCATCTTTCCTATGAGCGATTGATGGGCATCTTACCTACGAGCAATTGATGGGCATCTTTCCTATGAGCGGTTGATGGGCATCTTACCTACGAGCGATTGATGGGCATCTTTCCTATGAGCGATTGATGGGCATCTTACCTACGAGCGATTGATGGGCATCTTTCCTATGAGCGATTGATGGGCATCTTACCTACGAGCGATTGATGGGCATCTTACCTACGAGCGATTGATGGGCATCTTTCCTATGAGCGATTGATGGGCATCTTTCCTATGAGCGATTGATGGGCATCTTTCCTATGAGCGATTGATGTGCATCTTTCCTATGAGCGATTGATGGGCATCTTACCTACGAGCGATTGATGGGCATCTTTCCTATGAGCGATTGATGGGCATCTTTCCTATGAGCGATTGATGGGCATCTTTCCTATGAGCGATTGATGTGCATCTTTCCTATGAGCGATTGATGCGCATCTTTCCTATGAGCGATTGATGCGCAGCTTTCCTATGAGCGATTGATGGGCATCTTTCCTATGAGCGATTGATGGGCATCTTACCTACGAGCGATTGATGGGCATCTTTCCTATGAGCGATTGATGGGCATCTTACCTACGAGCGATTGATGGGCATCTTTCCTATGAGCGATTGATGGGCATCTTTCCTATGAGCGATTGATGGGCATCTTTCCTATGAGCGATTGATGCGCATCTTTCCTATGAGCGATTGATGCGCATCTTTCCTATGAGCGATTGATGCGCATCTTTCCTATGAGGGATTGATGGGCATCTTACCTACGAGCGATTGATGGGCATCTTTCCTATGAGCGATTGATGTGCATCTTACCTATGAGCGATTGATGGGCATCTTTCCTATGAGCGATTGATGGGCATCTTTCCTATGAGCGATTGATGCGCATCTTTCCTATGAGCGATTGATGCGCATCTTTCCTATGAGCGATTGATGCGCATCTTTCCTATGAGCGATTGATGGGCATCTTTCCTATGAGCGATTGATGGGCATCTTTCCTATGAGCGATTGATGTGCATCTTACCTATGAGCGATTGATGGGCATCTTTCCTATGAGCGATTGATGGGCATCTTTCCTATGAGCGATTGATGTGCATCTTTCCTATGAGCGATTGATGCGCATCTTTCCTGTGAGCGATTGATGCGCATCTTTCCTATGAGCGATTGATGGGCATCTTTCCTATGAGCGATTGATGGGCATCTTTCCTATGAGCGATTGATGGGCATCTTTCCTATGAGCGATTGATGCGCATCTTTCCTATGAGCGATTGATGGGCATCTTTCCTATGAGGGATTGATGGGCATCTTACCTACGAGCGATTGATGGGCATCTTTCCTATGAGCGATTGATGCGCATCTTTCCTACGAGCGATTGATCGGCATCTTTCCTATGAGCGATTGATGGGCATCTTTCCTATGAGCGATTGATGCGCATCTTTCCTATGAGCGATTGATGGGCATCTTTCCTATGAGGGATTGATGGGCATCTTACCTACGAGCGATTGATGGGCATCTTTCCTATGAGCGATTGATGTGCATCTTTCCTATGAGCGATTGATGGGCATCTTTCCTATGAGCGATTGATGCGCATCTTTCCTATGAGCGATTGATGGGCATCTTTCCTATGAGGGATTGATGGGCATCTTACCTACGAGCGATTGATGGGCATCTTTCCTATGAGCGATTGATGCGCATCTTTCCTACGAGCGATTGATGGGCATCTTTCCTATGAGCGATTGATGGGCATCTTTCCTATGAGCGATTGATGCGCATCTTTCCTATGAGCGATTGATGGGCATCTTTCCTATGAGCGATTGATGCGCATCTTTCCTATGAGCGATTGATGGGCATCTTTCCTATGAGGGATTGATGGGCATCTTACCTACGAGCGATTGATGGGCATCTTTCCTATGAGCGATTGATGCGCATCTTTCCTACGAGCGATTGATGGGCATCTTTCCTATGAGCGATTGATGCGCATCTTTCCTATGAGCGATTGATGCGCATCTTTCCTATGAGCGATTGATGGGCATCTTTCCTATGAGCGATTGATGGGCATCTTTCCTATGAGCGATTGATGTGCATCTTACCTATGAGCGATTGATGGGCATCTTTCCTATGAGCGATTGATGGGCATCTTTCCTATGAGCGATTGATGGGCATCTTTCCTATGAGCGATTGATGCGCATCTTTCCTATGAGCGATTGATGCGCATCTTTCCTATGAGCGATTGATGGGCATCTTTCCTATGAGCGATTGATGGGCATCTTTCCTATGAGCGATTGATGCGCATCTTTCCTATGAGCGATTGATGGGCATCTTTCCTATGAGGGATTGATGGGCATCTTACCTACGAGCGATTGATGGGCATCTTTCCTATGAGCGATTGATGCGCATCTTTCCTACGAGCGATTGATGGGCATCTTTCCTATGAGCGATTGATGCGCATCTTTCCTATGAGCGATTGATGCGCATCTTTCCTATGAGCGATTGATGGGCATCTTTCCTATGAGCGATTGATGGGCATCTTTCCTATGAGCGATTGATGTGCATCTTACCTATGAGCGATTGATGGGCATCTTTCCTATGAGCGATTGATGGGCATCTTTCCTATGAGCGATTGATGGGCATCTTTCCTATGAGCGATTGATGCGCATCTTTCCTATGAGCGATTGATGCGCATCTTTCCTATGAGCGATTGATGGGCATCTTTCCTATGAGCGATTGATGGGCATCTTTCCTATGAGCGATTGATGGGCATCTTTCCTATGAGCGATTGATGCGCATCTTTCCTATGAGCGATTGATGGGCATCTTTCCTATGAGGGATTGATGGGCATCTTACCTACGAGCGATTGATGGGCATCTTTCCTATGAGCGATTGATGCGCATCTTTCCTACGAGCGATTGATGGGCATCTTTCCTATGAGCGATTGATGGGCATCTTTCCTATGAGCGATTGATGCGCATCTTTCCTATGAGCGATTGATGGGCATCTTTCCTATGAGGGATTGATGGGCATCTTACCTACGAGCGATTGATGGGCATCTTTCCTATGAGCGATTGATGCGCATCTTTCCTACGAGCGATTGATGGGCATCTTTCCTATGAGCGATTGATGGGCATCTTTCCTATGAGCGATTGATGCGCATCTTTCCTATGAGCGATTGATGGGCATCTTTCCTATGAGCGATTGATGCGCATCTTTCCTATGAGCGATTGATGGGCATCTTTCCTATGAGGGATTGATGGGCATCTTACCTACGAGCGATTGATGGGCATCTTTCCTATGAGCGATTGATGCGCATCTTTCCTACGAGCGATTGATGGGCATCTTTCCTATGAGCGATTGATGGGCATCTTTCCTATGAGCGATTGATGCGCATCTTTCCTATGAGCGATTGATGGGCATCTTTCCTATGAGGGATTGATGGGCATCTTACCTACGAGCGATTGATGGGCATCTTTCCTATGAGCGATTGATGCGCATCTTTCCTACGAGCGATTGATGGGCATCTTTCCTATGAGCGATTGATGGGCATCTTTCCTATGAGCGATTGATGCGCATCTTTCCTATGAGCGATTGATGGGCATCTTTCCTATGAGCGATTGATGGGCATCTTTCCTATGAGCGATTGATGGGCATCTTTCCTATGAGCGATTGATGGGCATCTTTCCTATGAGCGATTGATGGGCATCTTTCCTCACCTCAGCGTCTCTGTTCTCCATGAGCGATCAAAGGACATCGCCTTCCATTCTTCTCGTCTCCCATTCTCCAATGTTTTTTTTTTTTTTTTTTTTTTTTTTTCAGGCACCTCAAAAGTCATTCTTTTCGTCTCGCCCTCCCTGGTGCTTTTTCGAACCTTCCCTCCTGGGTTCCCCACCATTCTTCAGGTGGTGGTGTTTGTGCTGGTACTGGTGGCCCTGATAGGAGCAGCTCTGGGCTTCTGGGTGGTGCGGAAATTTATACTGTCGCCCACAGGGGAGCTGGACCCCCCTACAGTCTCCTTCGTGAAGTGGGGGCTCAGAATAATAGCGGCAACGCTCCTCATCATGGTATGCATTGGGCTAGGGCTTTTAACTCGCATATTCGCCTACAGGGGAGATGGATCCCCCTACAGTCTCCTTTCTTTAGTGGGGGCTCAGAATAATCGTGGCAACTCTGCTTATCATGGTATGGTGTGTATGCCCTCAACCGTAGCATCAGTGCTAACCACTCTTATGGCAAATTGCCAACAATGTGTATCGTGCTTCTCTCGTGCACGTTCTCATGCACCCTCTTTTGCCCCTGTGACGACCCAGAACCGTGCCCTTCGTAATGCTCCTCTCCTCCCTCTCTCCCATTCCTAACTGGTTCAAAATAACTCTCGTCTTCTCCTCCCGACCTTTTCTCCGTTTCCCCCGTCACCAGAGCTCAGCCGATGCAATCATCGCCACATCCCTTCTCCTCCTCTCCATCTCCACCACCCTCCTCCTCCACCTTCTCTCCCCCCGCGCCCTCTCCCTCCTCTCTCCCTCCGCCACCCCCACTGCCACCCCAACCACCTCTTTCATTGCTCGAGCCTTCCCGTGGAAGGGGGAGCACGCAGCAGAGCAGGAGAGGGGTGGGGGGGGTGTGTTCCACACCCCTGGCAAGGCCGTAGGGAGCCCTGAGATGTATGTGGGAGGGGGGGCGGAAGGAGAGTTAGCCTTCTCCCCCCCGGGGCAATTTGGCACGCCTCCCCAGGGGCCAGCAATGGGGGGCCAGGGATATGTGACGCCAGCGAGGAGTGGTGCTGGGGGCTTGCCGTACGTTCGCACAGGCACGCCTTTTCCCGGAGGACCAGGTGAGTGATGCTGTTTATCCTCGTTATTGGTTGGTTGGTATGGGAGGGTCAAGGGTTCATTACCACCAATTGGGAGAGAAGACGTGTGTTACGCTCGCACCATGTCTTCTCTCCCAATTGCTCGCACACCCGCGCCATTCCTGGGAGGCTCAGGCGAGGCCCTGTTGTCCCCCACACCATGCCTTCGTTCGAAGTAGACCCAGGTCACTGTTTTTCCAGGAGGTTCCGGTCAGTCGAGGACTTCACTTCTCTCTTTACTCCACCTCCTCCTCTCCCATCTTTCCCCTCTCAGCAGGCACTGCCCGCACCCCTCTACCCTCCTCGCCTCTCCTCCGCACGGTCTGCCCCTCTTCCTTCCATCGCACACCCCACCGCCGCCACCTCACGCGCGCACAGGCAGCAGCCATCTCGCACGAGTGCACGCAGGCAGCCCTGCGAGACCTGGCATATTCCCCTGGGTTCGGGCAGTGGGTGCTGAGGCTGAGGTGCCTCAGAATACTCTCCAGGCTGTGGCCAGTGGGTGTTGCCTAACTCTGATTCGGATTGCTCTCCCTCGCTCCTGCCCCTCCCCTCCTTCCCCTCCCTCCTGCCCCTCCCCTCCTGCCCCTCCCCTCCTTCCCCTCCCCAACTGCCCTTCCCCTCCTTCCCCTCCCCTTGTGCCCCTCCCCTCCTGCCGCCGTGCAGGCACGCCCCGGAGTCCTCTCCCTGCCTCCTCGCCTCTCCTGCGCACCGTGTGTGCTTCTTCCTTCCACCGCACGCCCCACCGCCGCCACCTCACGCCCGCACAGGCAGCAGCCATCTCGCACGAGTGCACACAGGAAGCCCTGCAGGACCTGGCGTACTCGCCTGGGTTCGGGCAGTGGGTCTTGAGAAACTTTGACCGGATAGCCATTACACCTAGGGCGTTGAGGGAGGAGAGGGGTGAGGCTGAGATTGCTGCCACGGCTGAGATGGAAGAGGGGTTTGAGGACGAGGGGTAGGGGGTGATGGGGTAGGGGGTGTTGGGGTAGGGGGTGTTGGGGTAGGGGGTGTGGGGAGGGAAGGGATGAGGAGGAGTAGAGGAGAGGGGTGAGATTGCTGCTGCGGCTGAGATGGCAGACGGGTTTGAGGACAAGGGGTAGGGAGGAAGGGGAAGAGGAAGGGGAGTGGAGAGGAGAGATTGTTGAGAGACCCACTGGGGTTACCCTTGAGAAGATCCTCGGGGAAGGGCCACAGGTGCAGAGCCTGGGGGGCTATGGGCGCACTTACCCGCTATTAACAAGCCTTTAACTCAGTGGTTAGTGGCTGAGTTTTGACAGAGATTCCTTGGTAGGAAGGCGACAAGGGAAAGGGTAGGGGTTTAGGAAAGGGACGAGGAAGAAGAGTGGTGCAGGGAGGAGGCTATGCAGAAACTAAGGTTTGAAGAGGAGGAGAAACGGGTTTGCGGGTGGATGGATAGGCAGGACGAGGAGACAAAGGGATTAAGGTTGGTCGTAGTAGTGGCTGTTTTACGCCGCCCGTGTTTCAGTGGCATCAAGGCAATAACTTCTTTCTACCCTGGGGAGCGTGTCTCTTGAGTACAATTCTCCCTGGATCACTAATGCTGGTAATACCGGATATGACGACTGTTGGGCTGAGAAAAGCCCTTAGGTTCTTTCCAGAGACTAAGTCCCAGTTGTAGAATGAGACTTCAGCAGTGCAGCGGAAGTTGAGTAGTTGAACCCTTGTACTAGTATATGAGAACAAGTGATTGATTAAAGTGAACAAGCAGTTGTAGAATACAGTTGAATGGCGGTTTATCGAGTCGCACAGCGACTCGATTGTCGCTTCGGTTACCATTCTTGCAGTTGTAACGGTCAGTCACAACCTCCGGTTGCGACCCTTCGAGTCCTTTCGTGTTCTTTGTCCATTCCCTCGTGTAACCTCCGTTGACTCGCGTACTCGTTACGATCTTCCTCGAGTGTGATGTTACACTTCAGAAACGCTCAAGTCCTTGAGATATTTCCAACGACGACAATGGATCAAGGACAATACACAAGTATTTCGATCAGTCACATGGTGTCCTAATCTACAGCAAGGCTTCCCTATGTTAACTTTTCCATTAGTCAAATTAGCATAGTCAAACAAACCCATAAACTCATTGTCCGCACGCCACTACGGCCTGGACCCAGCAGCAGGCGCTGCAGCCCAGCAGCCCAGACCACCACTTCCTGGCCCACCACTGCCCTAGCCAGCGCTGCCAACCAAGCCCATTGTAAGTGGTAACAAAAACCGTTTTAGAGATATCACAATCTTTAGGTTCTTAACTGCACTTGCACATTTCAAAACACAGCCAACCCCTTAACCAACCCCTTCCCTCTCCACCCATTTCCGCCCCTCTCCACCCATCACCCCTTCCCTCCCCCTGCAGCACCACCAGCAGCGCCCTCCTGCACCCAGATCCTGACCGTCCGATCTTGATCCAACCCTCCAGAAGCGATCATATTCTCACTGGGATGGCACGCCACAGTGAGCACAATGTCCGAGTGGCCTGAGAGCTTTTGCACCACGGTACGCGCTTGTAGGTCCCACAGATACACGCTGCAGTCCTCCGACCCGCTCACTATGTACTTCCCGTTGGTGACGGAGAAGGTGGAGAATATGCAGTACTTCTTGTTCACGTGCCCCGTGTAGGTCTTCAGGCACTTGCCAGTGGCGTAGTTCCACAGGCGCTGATCAAGGTGTGGGGGACAGAGGCGAGGGGGAAGCAGGGGAGGCGGAGAGAGTGAGTATGCAGTACTTCTTGTTCGCGTGCCCCGAGTAGGTTTTCAGGCTCTTGCCAGAGGCGAAATTTCACAGGCGCTGGAGTAAAGTGGGAGTGGGGCGTGGGAAACAAGACAAGTGGGAGTGGGGCGTGGGAAACAAGACACGTGGGAGTGGAGTGGGGTGGAGTGGGGTGGGAAGGGAAAGGGGGGAGGAGGGGGGGGAAGAGTGGGGGGAGGAGGAGGGGGGGAAGAGTGGGGGGAGGAGGAGGGGGGGGGAAGAGTGGGGGGAGGAGGAGGGGGGAGACTGAACATAGAGAGGACGGAGAGAGTAATCGTAGTAAGACAGGAGACACAGTGGGGAGATGAGGAGAGGAGAGGGGAGAGGGAGGGAAAGGGGGTTAAGGGGAGGGTGAGGGGGAGGGTGAGGGGGAGGGTGAGGGGGAGGGTGAGGGTTTGTCCAAGGGAGAGGCGGAGCATGGAGGGGCGGGAGGGTGGGAAGCGGGGGTGAGGGGTTGAGTTGAGGGGGGCGGAATCAAGGATGGGGCGTCAGAGGCAGTCTTGCAGGGTGTTATTAAGCGTGCCAGCGAGGATGAACTTGCCATTGGAAAGAGAGGGAGGAGAGGGAGGGGAAACCGGGGGGGGTGAGAAGGGATAGGGAGCGGTGGGCAGCCGTACCAGGGTGTTATCGTGCCGGAGAGGATGAACTTGCCATTGGAAAGAGAGGGAGGAGAGGGAGGGGAAACGGAGGGGTGGAAAAGGGTGGGGAGCAGTTGGCAGTCTTACCAGGGTGTTGTCGAGCGTGCCGGCGAGGATGAACTCCCCGTTGGAAGGAGAGGAAGGAGAGGGAGGTGAGGGAGGGGAAACCGGGGGGGGTGAGAAGGGGTGGGGAGCGGTGGGCAGCCGTACCAGGGTGTTATCGTGCCGGCGAGGATGAACTTGCCGTTGGAAAGAGAGGGAGGAGAGGGAGGGGAAACGGAGGGGTGGGAAGGGGTGGGCAGCGGTGGGCAGCCGTACCAGGGTGTTGTCGAGCGTGCCGGCGAGGATGAACTTGCCGTTGGGCGAAAACTTGACGAACGACACGGGGGGGTTGTCGTCGTCGATTAGGGTTTTCAGGCAGTGGCCCGTCTGCGTGTCCCAAATACGGCACAACCCGTCGTACGAGCTCGACACGACGAGCGACCCGTCGCGGTTGAAATGAACCGCCGTTACGGGGTCCGAGTGGGCAGGCAAAACTTTCACGCACTTGCCCGTTTTCACGTCCCACAGCCGGACCGTCTCGTCGAACGCGCCGGACACTATGAGATTAGACTGCGGGTTGAAGTTACAGCAGAATACGTAGTTAGTATGGCCCTTGAGGACCTGCACGCAAGGGCGCGTGGTCGGCGCGGCCCCGCTATTAGCATCCCCGCTAGAAGCCGCCTGCCCTCCTGTAACGTCCCATATACGAAGCGTGTGATCGTCGGACGCGGAGCAGATGTAACGCGAATCGGACGACCATGCGATGTCGCTTATTCCCTCCGTGTGTGCTACGAGCGGCGGATCTGACGGCCGGCCGTCAGCTGCGTGCCAGATCCTGACGGTTTTGTCGGCCGACGAGCTGGCTAACCATTTTCCGTCGGGCGAAAACTTAACGCTGGAAATCGCCTTCTTATGGCCGTTAAGGGTGTATTTAAGAACGTATGGCACGTAGCCCTTAGGTGGAACTACTTGCACCGCCGCGGGAGCAGCGGCGCCGGCCGTAGCTGCGGGTTCTGCGGCGGGTTTTGCGGGAGCAGCTGCAGCGGCAGCCATTGATCCGGACGGAGGGTTTGGGGATGGCGCAGGCTGGGTCGCGGGATTTCCGGGAGCTGACGTGTCCATAGGGACGGCCTCGGCTTTCCTCTCTGGTTGCTCCATGCTGTGCTGGCTTAGAGATCGAGAAAAACGAGCGCAGCGATGAGAGCACAGGCAGCGCGGGGACTACAAACGAGCGCCGACGCGCCTAGCCGAAGGCGAGCGAATATTCACACAGACGCGGAGGAGCAACGGAGGAAGAGCCGAGGCGCAAGTTCTAAAGCTCGGCAAAGCTGTATTATTCCCAGCTCGCGATGTTCGGGTTTTGTGAAGGTCAAGAGCGCTGAACCCAGACCATAAACCCGTCGAATGTTGCTCGCCCCTGGAACAACTCGCAGTTACGGTGGTGGGGAGTTGCATTGTCCAACCAGGGTGAGGGGTTTAGGCAGGGTATGGCAGGTTTTCGCGGGGTTTTGTGTTTTGAGAGAGCTGGTTGGGCTTGGACTCGGGAACTGCAAAAAAGGGGCTGACAGGGTGATCTGTCAGGGCGTGGCGAAGAGAATTGAACGTGTTTTGGGTAATCGCCAATGTTACGCGAAAGGTTGTTTCGAGATGCTTACACATTTGTCAGGACGCGTGCCGCGAAAGTCCCTTTGTCAAACAACGCGGTACGGTATAGTGCGGTACACGGCAAGGAAGAATTGTCGGTTCGGGTCGGTTCGGGCTCGGACCAGGGCTTATTTTTGACGGGTAATTACCCGGATTTTGGAAAAATAACGGGTGGTTTTTTCTCACACTCGGAATCTGACGTGTTCAGATTTTATAAACCCTGATTCTGAAGGGTGTCTTCTGGCTTGTACCCGTGAATTAACGTGTAAGGTTTGCCAGGTACACTTATTTGACGGGTACGATTTTCGAAAACCCGAATTCTAGCGCTGGTGGAAACCCCCCCCCCCTCCCCCCTCAAATCCACCACCCCCCCCCCACCTCTCCCCCTCTGAGGGAGAGGGGGAGTTGCTGTCGCGGCTCAAGAACAAGCCTCCAGATGAGTTATGTCAAGTACAAGTGCTGGTTCTCAACCTTAGGCATTACAGATTGAAATTTGTTCATGCTCGCTCTCAGCTGTGTCTAATTCCGCCAAGTCTTTTAGCTTGAGCAGGTGTCTCCGAATCTGTAGCAAGATGCCCATGTTCACCAACACTTTGAGCACATGCTGAAAGGTAGGTGTCATAGCAAGTAGATGAGGTCGGTGTGTTAGTGTGTTTTGTTTTCTGTCAATCAAGGCCTATTCACATAAAACCATGCATTTAGACATTACGAAAACAATACCCGGAATATGACGTGTATGTTTTTGAAATACCCGTATTCTACCGGGTGACTCTCAACAAATACCCGTGCTGTCCGGGTCGCGAGGGAGAAGAACCCGGATCTGACGTGTAGTCAAAACCCCTAACGTAAGCCCTGGCTCGGACCCTGGTAAGCGTCAGACAGACTTGAGTCGAGGTGTGCTTTGTGAATTTGTGGTGGCACGCAATTGTTGGCAAGCACACCACGCCGCCTTGCTTCGAGTATCGCGCGGCACCACAACGCAACCTTCCCCCACATGCGATAATCTTGCGGGGGTGCGACGAATCCCACACACTCAACCTCAATTGTTGCGCGGACGCGGAGGAGTATTCCCCCATAACCAAACCAGTGGCGAAAAGCGTCAATCGAAGCCGTCGATTCCTGCGAAACGCGTCCCTTCTCTGCGACACTCCACCCGAACTGCGCACCGCGCCCGTCGCCTGTCGCCGCTCAAATTCTTTCCCGAATCCGCCAACTCCGCCCGCGTCTGAGGCGGAATTCTTCCAAATTCGCCCTCACACCCCCGCTTTCCCCATCTCCTCGGTTGCTACAATTCAAGCTCCTGCGTGGCAGGTTTTGCGTGCAGAGAAAGGGAGTTGGCTGAGGTCTGCCTACCCTTCCCTTTCCGCAGTCCCTTCGCGACGGCCATTTTGGTCTTCACCCACACACATCACTTTCATTTGCTGGTCCAATTATTGGCACAGCCGCACGTCACGATCACTTTTCGCTGAGTCTCTCGCTCGTCTCCAGCACGCAAGCCACTGCCAGTTACACCTCTAGACTTTGGCAGAGCTGTGTATTTTTCCGAAATTCTTTTCTACGCAAACGATTCTTTCTCCTTAACGTCGTATAGAGGACTTGCTTTGCTAGTAAGCTTAAAGAAAATCCCTTTTCTTTAGATCGACTACCTGATTTTCACTCCTGAAACTTAGCTATACTCATCGAGACGACACAGTATGGGCGTGTCAACCAATCCGTACGCCACGGAGCTTCACACCGCCGTTCTTTCCGGTCGGATCCTCTCCGTCCGTCGATTTCTCGATCGCGGCGCGCGGGTGACGGCGCGCGACAAGATCGACCGCACGCCGCTGCACTGGGCGGTCGCCGCCGGCCTCGAAGACATCGCCAAGGTCCTCCTTATAAGCACTCCCCCGCGCTCGTTAAAAGCCGGCGATAAGTACGGCCGAACCGTCCTCCACTACGCTGCAGCGTCGGGAAACGTCTCTCTCGCGCGCGTGATGATCAACCGCGGCGCGGCGGTGAGCGCGGAAGATCGACGGTTGGTAACGCCGCTCCATCTGGCGGCGGAGCAGGTGAATCCCGAGATGGTGCAGCTGCTGCTGGGGCACGGGGCGGCGTGCGCGGCGCAGGACGCGGAAGGGCGCACGCCGCGGGGTTTTGCGGAGCGGGTGGGCAGCGCGGACTGCGCGCGGTTGCTGCGTGAGGCGGAAGCGCGGGTGACGGATCGTTCGCTCCGGGAAGCGGAAGCGCGGGTGGCGGAAGCGGGTGTGGCGGAAGCGGGGGTGGCGGAAGCGGGTGTGGCGGAAGCGGGGGTGGCGGAAGCGGGGGTGGCGGAAGCGGGGGTGGCGGAAGCGGGGGTGGCGGGAGGTTTGGCGGCGGAACGTGCAGCAGCGATGGCGGTATCGAGCGCGGCAGGTCGTGGCAGCTCGCGCTCTAGCTCGCACCTTGGCGCTCTGTCAACGGAAGCAGATGGGAGGATGAAGGAGAACGTCAGTGTTAGGGACCTCTGTGCCTTAGGTGGTGCATGGGAATGCAAGTCCGAGAAGCTCTCGACGCCAGGCGCGGGCTTGGCCGCCGCTACTCTGCCTGCCGGCTCCAGCGGTCCATTGCAGCCCTTAGGTAACCGCGCAAACGCCTCTGCCGCTGATACGGCTCTGCAACGCAACGGACCGGCAGCAGATACGCTGACAGCAGCAGCAGCAGAGGAAGGTGGGGCGGCGCAGCAGCATGGAGGGTTCGTGGCCTGGGACGCGGAGGAGAGGCGATTGGGTGCAGGCGAGAGTTACACAGAGGCCGGATTCCGCATTGCTGTGCCACCATATGCTGGGAGGGCGGGCGCTGGGGAGGTGGGGTTCACCAGGAGCGGATTTGGAGGGGCACGGTGTGCGGAGAAGCCGAGATCGGGGTGGGATGAAGCCTGGGGCGTGCTGGGGCTGCTTGGGGCGTTCTGAGATCGTTCTGATGTTGTTCTGAGGTCGTTCTAAGGTCCAGGCTAGCCATACTGAGATGGGAGGGGCGGTTTGGGGTTACCTGGGGATGGGATTACCAGGGGATGGGATTCTAGGGAGATGCTTGCAGTCAACCATATATACATTCAAGCTTCCTGGTGGGGCTTGCAATAAGGGAGACGCAATGCAGGGGGACGTCATGGTACGTGCCTGTCTGGGGCTATTGCCAGCAGGGTACGAAGTTGGTACTAGGTACCAACCAACCCACCACTACCGGGTGCTGCTGTTAGCAACTTGTTGACATGAAGCTTCTTAAACGATAATGCAACTTGTCTGTACATACTCTTGTGTAAGGAAGCTTTAAAGTGGTTGGACCTATTATTTTATGTAATAGGCCTGGCTGGGTCGGAGCCCTTGCTCACAATTCTGATCCCAGACACTCTCAAACTTACTAATGGGTGCCTGGTGCCACTCCACAGCAGAGCATGTAAGCACATGGGGTGGGTTCTCGTCGCGTGGCATACAGAAAATGATCTGGTTGGGTTGGGTAGCCCAACATAAGGATGGTCACTGCCTTGTATTACCTCATAACTGGTCACGAGTCACGACTCACCACCAACGTGTCAAAACATATGTCTCATAGGCTAGATAGGTGCGTACTCTTAGAGAGTACAACCCATTAGCACAAAGGCACCTTGTATCTCTCATTCTAATCATTCGATTCTCACGTTAACATGGTATCACGCCAGGTTAGTAACAAACTGAAAGAATGACTAGAATGTGAGAGTACAAGGCATTATAATCTAGGGGGCTGTACTCTCTAAGGCACAACCCTATATGGTCTACAACATCACACACAAATGTGTTTGACACACCCCCTGGACTGGATAGGGGCAGTGTTCGTTGAGAGAAAAGCAACTCAGGGTGGCACTTCTAGTCCAACCTCTGAGGCAAGGGTCTAAAGACCAGTCAAACAAGTACAAACCAAGGCAAGAGCAAGACCAGAGCGGCACTACTAGTCCAGCCACTGGGAGAGGCCACAAGGCCAGTCAGGGTAAAATATATATAAAGGTCTGTACATAATCAAGGCCCTAGCAAGTGAGAGGCTACAGGAACGAGACCTAGCTGTACACAGAGCCGCTGATGATCTTTATGCGCAAGCGCCTTCGTAAAGATATCAGCTGTGTTGGCACCGGAGGCCAAGTGTACTACGCGGGCCAAGCGGCGCTGCTGTAGCTCGTGCAGGAGGAAGTACCGCAGCTAGATGTGCTTCGCTCTGCCCTCAAGTCGAGGCTCCTGACATAGGAGGATCATGGCCCTACTGTCAGCGTACAGGACCGGGGCAGAGCTAGGCCGCTCACCTAAGTCAGTGAGCAAAAAGGTCAGCCAGCGGAGCTCCTGCGCCGCCATGGCACCAGTGGAGATCTCGGCCTCACAGCCGGACTGGGCAACAGACGAGGAGCGAGTAGTTCTCCACGAGACGGCACCTGAACCAAGGCTAAAGTAGTAGCCCTGCGAGGACCTGAGGGTCTCAGCGTCGTCTGCCTAAGAAGCGTCTGTGTGCTCAGTAAGGACCACTGGCCTGCGTCCTCCTAAAGCTAACCCCATGCCCGATGTACTTGCTAGATAACGCAAAACCCTCTTAGCGGCCGACCAGTGCTGTGGTCGGTGTCTGCCAGTGGCCACAAAGCAAGCCAAGATGCTAAGAGGGTATGCGAGATCTGGACGAATGCAAGTCATCAGGTACATGAGGCAACCCACCACTCGGCTCTACTAACTCCTCAAGAACTGGAGCTGAGAGCCTGTGATCTGCTGGCAGAGGTGTGAGCTATGCGGAGGAGAACTGAAGACCGAACCTCTGAATGACCTGGCGCACCAAGTGTGACTGGGTGAGAGTGATGGTGCGTGCTGCTCTGTCCCTGGAGATCTGGAGGCCAAGGTAGTGGCGCAGTTCTCCTTGGTCATTGCAGGTGTGTCTCTTCAGCAGCTCTGCCTTCACGGAGGCCATTGCGTCCCTATCTGCAGTGGCGAAGACCAGGTCGTCGACGTAAACAAGGATGTAGAACGGGGTCTGGCCAGCACGAACGAAGAACGAGGGGTCTGCAGAGGACGGAAAGAACTGCAGGTCAGCAAGGGTAGCACGCAGTGTGTCTTGCCACTCACGGGGCGCCTCTCGCAAGCCGTAGACTGGGCGCCGCAGTAGCCACTGGGTCCCAGGCGGGAAGGTACCAGTGAAGCCCTGAGGGCAGCGCAGGTAGACCTGCTCGTGTAGGCTGCCCTGAAGAAACGCAGTGGAGAAGTCGAGGGAGTGTAACTCGTAGTTACGCAGTGTTGCTACGTGTAGCAGTGCCCGAAGAGTAGTCATCTTCGGCGTCGGGGCGAAAGTCTGAAGAAGTCCACCCTCTCACGCTGACTGAAGCCTCTAGCCACGTAGCGCGCCTTGAACACAGGCGGCTCTCCAAGGGGGCGCTTCACATTGAAGAGCCACCGGCCATCAACTACGTTCACCCCATGGGGGAACTGCGTCGACGTAGGTGCCGGTGGATCTCCGAGATGCTATCTCCTGCTGCATGGCAGCTATCCACTGAGAGACCCAGGGTCCCGAGATCGCCTCAGCGTAGGTGCGAGGGGTTGGGATGTTGAAAACGTCTGGGTCACCCTAAGGGACTAGCAGCATGGAACAGAGATGGGGAACAGCCTCTGATAGGAGAGAAAGCTCATACTGCCGGTCCTCCATGACGTCATTGCCGAGGGCAGGAGCACCCTCGACGGACGGAGGACGAGCAGGGTCAGAGACCAGAGCAGTGGCGTAGTCAAGGCGGCGGGTAGAGGCGAAGTCAGCGACCGCAGCGACAAGAGCGTCAAGACGCGAAACAGGAACAGACGGGTCGGTAACGAGAGAGGCAAGGACCCGAGGAACAAGAGGACGAGCTGCACGAAGGTAGTCAGACAGAGGGGTAGGCGCGACAACAAGGGAGGACGGAGGAGGCGACGGCAGGAGGGGAGGACGAGACGCGTGGGAACGGAGCAACATAGGGTGAGAGCGCAGAACAGGAGAGACAAGACGTGCACGAGAGGGACGGCGGGACCAGACGTGAGACGGAGGTGTCGGGTCAGGAGATAGAGTAGGAGACACAGGAGGAGAATACGGAGGAAGACGAGTCGGAGACGATTCCGTAGGAGGGAACACGGGGCCGTAGACACGAAGGGGAGCAGACGGTGGAGGAGGCACAGGCGCTCGGTCAGGGGACGGAAGGCCGAGCAGGCGTAGGGCTGACACCGGCGGCGACTGCTGCTGCGGCGGCACGACGGCGACACCGGGACCGCCAGCTGCTCCACGGCCAACTCCGAAACACTCCACTCCAGCACCCCCAGAACCAAGAACCTCTCCAGCACCGGTACCACCCCCAGGCCTGCCAGGACAAGCCACGACAGGAACCCCAGGATGAGCACCCTCCTCAACACCAGCACCCCCAGGGTCGACGAACTGTTGCTGCTGTGGCGACTGCGGCTACGACGACGGCTGCGGTGGCGGCGGCGACTGCGACGATGGCTGCTGCGATGACGGAGGAGGAGACACCGGGGGATGGGTGGGCGGCGAGGACTGCGCCGCAGGGCCACTAGAGTCATGTCAGCAGACTCCTCGACCGGGACAACCGACGGGAAGGGGGTGACGTGAGACACACCAGACAGGCCAGGTTAGGGAAGGAGAGGAGCAGGGGCGACCGGGGAAGGGGGAACCAGGAACAAGGGGGGAGCAACCGGGGACCACGGTGGGGAAAGCGGTAGTAGAAGGAGACGGACTCGTCAAAGTGAAGTCGCGAGAGTGAAAGAAACGTTGAGATTCGCCAGTCAGACGAGTCGAGGGGGAAACCGAGGAAGACACAGGGGACTGTGCGGGCAGTGAGCTTGTCCGTGCCAGAGGCACGAACGTGAGCAAGGCAGCCCCAGACGTGGAACGCAGACGCGTCACCACGGGACCCGGTCCAAAGAAGGGTCGGCGAAACCTGCGGCTGCTGGGGGTGCGGCCACAGGTTAAGCTGGTGAGCGGCGTAGCGAACGGCGAACGGCCACAGAAAATGGGGTGCACCGGCATGGATCATGGAGGTACGAGCCACCTCCATGACCAAACCGATGCGTCGCTCAGCGACCCCATTCTGCTGCGGGGAGTCCGGCAGGGTGAATGTCCGGGTGATGCCCTCTGTACGACAGAATTGACCAAGGACGCCGGAGGCAAACTCGCCACCACGGTCGGAGTGAAGACGCAAGACAGGGAGACGGCGGTGCACACGCGCAAAGACTAGCCACAGGATAAGAGCGTCAGGCACATCCGCCTTCCGCTCGAGGGGAAAAAACGTGGTGTAGCGTGTGTAGTCGTCGACAAGCACAAGAAAGTAGCGCTCTCGACGCGACCCATGGACGGGGGCGGGGCCCCAGACGTCCATGTGCAGGGTCTGTAGCGGTGCGGTGGTCGGGGGGAACGAGGAGGAATGAGGGGCACGGCGGAGCCGACCCTTGACGCAGGGCATGCACAGCGGCTCTGGGGAGGAGGGCAACTCAGGGAACGACTCTAAGAGACCTAGGACAAGACCGTGCTGAGACATGTGACGTAGACTTGGGAGCGCGGGGTGACCTAGACGGTGGTGCCACAGAAGTGTCGGGTAGAGTAAGCGACCGACACGAGCAGGCCGCAGCAACCTGGGTAGACGCAGCCACCTGGTGGGACTTCCCAACGGGGGGGGGGGGGGGGGGGGGGGGGTGTCCAGCGTGAATAGGCCAGACACCGAGTCCCGAGGGAACGTGGTGAGGGGAGCACCAGTGGCGGCCTCGGTACAGACAGCGTACCGCTCGTGACCAGGAACGTAGTGGTGACGCCAAGGTACTGGAGGCAGCCGACACCAACTAGGTTCCTAGAGAACGAGGGGATGTGCAGGCCTGTCAGCGAGCCCGAAGGAACCGCCGGATAGGGAAGGGTGGTGGAACTACGGGCGACTACAGGACTTGAGGAGGGGTCGGCAAGGGAAACTGCGGCAAGCGGCGTCAGCATCGTGGAGTCGCGAAAGAAACACCGGGAAGCACCAGAGTCCAGGGTAAAGTAGAGCACAACAGTGGCGGCCGTGCTCGGAGTAGCGAGGGAGGAGCCAAGACTAAACAAGACAGGGGATCCTACGCTTGACGCAGCAGGGGAGGCCGAACTAGGCACACCTACACTAGGCAACAAGGGGTAGGAGGAATCATTCACACTAGATTCATCGACATACAGCACATAAAAAGCAGAGTTAATCTCATCCATGTCCATATCTAAGATCTGAACACTACGGCGAAGCAAGCTTTGCCAGTCGGGGAGGTCGGGCGACGGGCCGAAGCCAAGACGAA